TTGGTAAAATCCAGTAGCGAAAGCAAGTTATCAATGGTAAACTTTACAAATATTTCTTCAGATACAGAAATGAAAATTAATTTGGTACCGTCATTATGAAACACTCACGTACCTTTTCATCATTAATTATCTGTCGACACTGAGACTGGTCGAAGTAAGAAAACAGGTGAACCAGCTATAACATAGCTCCATTCTATGAAATAATGCTGTATCAGACATGCGATTTCGTTATCCATTACTATTTCCCGGTGGATGTGTTTAAATGGTATAACGACATGGCTTGAGATATTATCGGACTTGATTCAGAATAGAAGCAATGATATTTCTGGTATAGTTTTCTTTTACATACATTATAAAAGTTAGGGAGATATCTTTCTTGGTCATATTTAAAATGTAATGACATCTCTTATTACATACTATTTTCGTTCACCTATCACTGTTCTCTCCTTCAACTTTTCTCATTGTTTCCTTTTTTAAATCTATGTGGTGCAAACGTTTCTGATGTTCAGTTATATCAGAGTATATTTATTAAATTAAGTACACCATATTTCTTAAAATCAGGGATTATACCCCTAACTCATGGTCTGGAAAGTCGGAAAAATGAAAATTTCGCAAATGCGATAAAAATGATCTTGGTGGTCTTGTATTACTATTTTGACACCAGACAATGGGTTTTAAGCGTTCTTAGGCCCTAACGCTTCAGGCTGGACTGTTTCGCTTACTACCCTATATGTGTGTTGTATTCAGTATAAGCTATATCGCCATGTAGAGCTGAAGGTCTCTCATGAGACTGGAGGTTCGCCATTGATATTGTAGATGGTTTGGCATTGCTTTGGCAACTTTTGCTGGCTGTCCATATGAAAAGTTGGTTGGCTGGTTAACCGATTTCATTCATACTGGTGATTTCTTCTCAGTGTTCTCAAGGGCTTTTGTCATTGGAGCATCGTAAGGCATATCGCCATTGCTAACATTAATGAGTTTGACTGTAGTGTAAGCGGAATGTGTGAACTTTGGTTTGTTCATTCTGTGCATAATTGATATTTGTGATCACTGATCGGAATAATTATACACGGGATGTGAATTTGTATATGAACGGTGCGAATGGTCCACCAGGGTGTTTGGTACCTGAATGGTTGCGCCACAGGATTGGGCTGTACTGTTCGGATTGTAACGTTGAAGCCTATATAGTGTTTGGTTCTCCTATAGGGCGGGATTGAGCTGTACTGCTTGGGTTGCCGAGTGAAAGTCTGGATGGTGTCTGATTCTCCTGAAAACCAGTGCAAGATTACCCTGGCCCATAATGGTATATTATATATATTATATATTTTTTAAAATCAGTCTATTCATGCTCCCTGAAGTTCGATAGCTTTCTAATTAAGATAAGTTCGTAATAGTTCAAACATTTTATTTTGCAAAATTAAACAGTCTCCATACAAACTACTCATTATAAACCAATATATATGTAGTAGTCAATGAAATTAATTCATAATTTAGCCTTTAAAAATGATTCTGGTTAGATTTCCATATTTTTCATATAAATATAACTAAAAAAACAGAACTATAGAGAAATATTGAATGTTTGAATAATCTATTCAGTGTGAGGAGGAAACCAAAAGAGGAAGTTTAGTGTTGAAAGTCGAGGTAGAAGAAATAGTAGGAATTAAAGAAGGAGATTGATTATGAATACTGTGGTCTTGAGTGCTGTTATAGGTATGAGGGCAGTTATCACTTCCCGGTTGCCCACACCATGGAAGATTCAGTGTGAATGTGTACATGTGTATTAATTGATCAGTCATTTGGTCACTTAGTTACTCAATCATAAAGAACATAAAACCCGGAATATACAGTTGCATTAGTTTAAACTGTTACACACACACAGACATATTAGTACAATGAAATAAAACTATTAATAACTGAATAAGAGAATGCATATAAAAGACTTGTATTGTTTAGAAATTCAGGCAAGGCGAATAGAGAAATAGGTAACTATGTTATTCACCTACAGATTATATATCTCTACATGCAGATGTTTTATCACTGTCCATATGAAAAAAGAGTGAAATAGTATTATTTTGGATAATCTATTGATTTGCTTCCAATAATAATGTGGTGAACAAAGACTTGATGGGGAAAACCAACTTATTGTATAACACAAAATTACAAAGTACCTTCGTGAAATATGTAAATCATATATTAAATACATCATTTGCACATCATGGCATCGTTCTTTATATACTCCTTTATTTTTCTAATTCTGTTGTTATTTTGATTGCTTTCCGAATTTCTTCTTGCTCTGTTCTTCATTTTAATCTTCTTCTGACAGGTATTCAACTCATATCTGTCAGCATAAGTAGTATATACCACACTGCTACTATTAACTATCATTTCACTCTAATAATGGCACAGTTTTTTACTGATAGCATTTATGATTTAGATAGGATTACTGTTTGTTATTTTTTAGTTTTTCAAAGTTGAAATCATAAGTCAATTGAAGCTAGACCACCGTCCAGTGCTTCCAGGTTTTCGATGGTGGTCTAGCTTCAATTGACTCATGATTTCAACTTTGAAAAATACTGAAATCTCCACAAATCCCCTTCTGATTTTTTAGTTTTATCAATTTTGTAGAAAAGAAAAGGTAGAGAGTGTGATTTATTGTTATTTGTTTATTTATCCACTTGAATCGATTGTTTACTTTAGATTAGATTTACTTTTCTTCATTAATGTGAACTCACTTTTTATTGTAATTCATTTCTGTTAAGAAAATAATTCTATTATTTTATGAATCACCAATCTGTTATCATCTCCACTAAATGAAAAAAAGTTCTTATCTTATTCACTGTGTTGATAGCGACTGACAAAATGTTATAGATATAGGTTTCATAGTTGTTGGGACTTATCAGTCACAATGAATACCTTCAATTCTAAATGATAGTGCTACATTGAAGATGTGGACCTGAAAAATCGAGTTCAGTAGTCACAGATATCATTATTGAACTAGTTGAATAATGTTTGATCTGTATGATAAAGATGTTTGTATTGATTTGCTGCTGAGTAATAAATAATAGTTGAAAGCATGAGCCAATTGAAGCTAGACCACCAAGGAAAACCTGGAAGCACTGGACGGCTGTTTCGTCCTATTCTGAGGTAAATCCAGGAGTTCTAGTGAGAAGCAGTGACCAGTCGAGTTCAAACCACGTCTGTTGTGAGATATCAACTCATTAAAGACAATTGGTGAACGGTTGCTCAGCTTCGTTGATTGGTTGGAGTTAGACATAAACACCACCGGATGCCGGCCCAGTAGTCTATCGGTTAAGTGCTCTGGCGCGAAACTGGTAGGTCCTAGGTTCGAATCTCGAGAGGTGAGGTCGTGGATGCGCACCGCTGAGGAGTCCCACAATAGTATGAAACGGCCGTCCAGTGCCTCCAGGTTTTCTATGGTGGTCTAGCTTCAATTGATGCACACTCTCAACTATGATAATACTAAATCTCCACAAAACCCCTTCTGATAATAATAAATAATATGTTTTCATGTTTTTAATACTGATAGAATGACACTGGTTGAATTCCTTGGTAGACCTTGAGATTTTTTGTTTCATTTACTTAGTTCATGATCGAAATTTTGTATATGAACAATGTCACCATTTAAAGAACTAAAAATTATGAACTATAATTCTGATCAGGTGATTTAAATGAGAAACAATGAATGAATATCTCACTGAGTAGTCGTCCAGCTGATACCAGCATATGGTCTTCAAAGCACAAGCATATTGATTTCTTGATGTAATATTTTGATTAAAAGTGTTGTGACAAATCTGCTTTCAAGTTTAAGTGAAATATATTATATAGTTGAAATCATGAGTCAGTTGAAGCTAGACCACCATAGAAAACCTGGAAGCACTGGACGGCCGTTTCGTCCTAGTATGGAACTCCTAAATAGTGTCCATCAGCGATCCCGGACATTTGAATCGAATCCAAGACCTTCGATTGCGCGCGCGAATGCTCAACCTTTAGACCAATAAGCCCTCATCCTATAATTTTAGTGTCTTACTTCAGTCAATCCACGATATTGCGCCACCACTTTCCATTGTCTCTGGTGAGTGACTGCCCACACCCGACTCATTTGTGTACACTGTTGTTTACCTATTTAACACATGTGATAAAAAAGGAGGCCTTTTGGTTGGTTTCTGGTTTACCCTTTCCATTATTAACTTATTACCTGACAAGTTATATTGCCATTACCAGACACTGCTGTTACATTCCATTGTCTTAATGTTGGAATTTTGTTACTGACACTGCTTATAATTCAATGTTATTAAGATACACACTGAAGCTAGAAATATAAACCATCGGATACTAACTTAATGGTCTGAATATTAAGCGCTCGAAGCAACACCTGAATTTTATGGGTTCAATCACTAGAGTGAGCCACGGGTTCACACTGCTGAGGAGACTTAGACTAGACCTAATGGTTTTCAGTGGTTGTTCAACCAAGTCAGTTTAAAGGTATGAAAGTTCAAATATAAATAACAGCACTATATCTCTGTATTGATATATTCAATCAATTGACCAAGTATCTAGTCTTCTTATAGTTTCTCGATTAAGATTCAAAAAAAATCAACAGTTTTGCGGAGAAATCACCAATTCACCTCTGTAGTCATATCTTGTCATTTTGCAAAACATCGTTTTCATCACGCTAATCAAGTTTCGTTAACTGAATATCACATATTTTACTGGCATATACATCCAAGCGTAAAACAACCTCGATTAATTGAAGATAATGTGGTCTATTTACACTTTATTAGTTTATTTTTCAAACATGATTCGAAAATTAATCAGCAGCAAACTGTTCTTTTTAATCTTAATTTTCAGACTATTTCTATTCATTTTGATATTTACAATTACTTCGTCGTCATCGTCATCATCATCATCATCAGTATTCTATCAAAGCGAATTTGAAATATTCATTGATCTACTAACGTGGACTACTCACACTGGAAATCATGAAATCAATGTACATGAATATGAACTCATATAAAACTAGGAAAGATATCGCTGTAAGACATTTTACTATATTCTGAATTGTTTATTTATTTCTAATGTTTGTCAAGTGACAAAAATGAGGTCACTATGACGTAAACTTTATTTGTTCTAGACAATTAGAGACAACAATATAATTTGAAATACTTAAACTATGGTTCATTTTGTATTGTTTTTTGATCGTCACACTGATGTTAAGGACTGCAATTGATCTAGTGAGGATTGCCCCGATATTGCATTAAAGCATAAGCATTATAAGCAAAGATGGGTGGATAACGCGATAGAGTTTGAGTTGAACGATACTGGATTCAAGTCCCGGAGTAAACATCAACTTTAGGATCCAGGTATATCCAGCTGACGAGTCCCAAGTTGGACGAAATGTGCGTCCTGGATTCCACTGCTAGCCACCGTCCATCTTTGTTTATAATGCTTAAACCGTGATTGAAACTCCTATGAAACTCTGGGTCACAATACGTATACATATAATACTAGGAGTGTTAGTTCTCCAAATATTGCTGATATATCCTGTTGATGAGAAATCCCAACCTGTACTTAGAATAACATCTGTTGAACTGTTCAAACCATTTAAAATCAAGTGAAGTGCACAGTTTTAAAGTATCAATAGTTGCTATATTGTAATTTGAATTATATAATTCAATTAGCAATCAAGCTTCTGCAGCAAACCCTCAGTGGTCTAAAGGTTAAAGGCTCAACGCTTTCCAGTTCCTTCTGGTTTCAGTGATTGTCTTACTAAGATCAGTTCGTGATCTTAATCATTAGTTACAAAGTTTATCAACTGAATAATCATTACTTTGGCGCAAAACCACAGCTAATAAATTAGTGTAATCCAAATACATTGGAAATCAATGCAAGGAAATTGTATTGAATGAATTAGTACAGAACTAAATATTTTTAGATTGGTTTTCCCGTAATACGTTACATGTTCAGGGATTCAGCATCCTTAACAACGTATCACTTCAATGGTTGAAAAAAAACTATTACGATAATGAATTGATTTTTGTTTTTGCATTAAACCATTTATAGAAAAAGTAACTTCAAATAACAAGCAAGTGGCTATCAGGGCTCAGTAGTTGAGTGGATAATGCGTTGGCGTTTGAAGCGAAAGGTACTGGGTTCGAGTCTCAGAGTGAACATCTACTCTGAGATGCAGGTACATCCAGATGACGAGTCCCAAATAGGACGAAACGCTCATCCTGGATTACACTGCTAGCCACTATTCATCTTTGTTTACAATACTTCGAATAACTGTTTTTTTCTGTTTGTAAAGGATAAAAAACTATTCATGGTGTTTTTATTGATTAAAACGTTTTAAGATTAACAAAATGTTTATCATTTTCCAACTCACTTTTTACTAATAGTCATCACCATGGATTGTCATTTTAAAAAAAATTTATTGCACGTATTTGCAAGAGTATTTTGAAATGTTTTCTTCTTTGTTTTACATAATAGTAAAACAAAAAGACGAACAGTAAAAAAAGACAGTAACATTGATTTGTTTTAATGTTTTGTTTTTGTATTTCAACTTATTACTGAATGCATATGAAGAGTGGAATTTCCACATTCGACTAAACTATCATGTTCATAATGTCATACTCATGTATTTATGTATGATAGTACGTAGTAGAATGGCATGCCGCCTCTCTCTCTCTCGATATATATATATATATCACTCTGTCCGTTAAGATATCACGTCAAGCTTTTTTCAGCTTCGACAATCCTACTGGTTATCCACTTATGAATGAAACAATGAATTGAGTGAAAAAAGTGAAGGAAAGGCAGTTTGAAAATATAAATTTTCTTGTCTACTGATAATTACTGTATTACTGCTAGTAGTAAAGTTGTTTTCATAATTATGTACACTTTCTGAATTCCGTACAACTATTTAAAGCTATAATATTTATGAATATATTCAGCGATTCAAGATAATTTAGGAAAAGAAAATAGAGAAATTATCTGTTTGTGTGAATGTGTGTGTGTGTTTGTGTGAGAGTGAAGGGATGATGAAATAGTGAAAAGGTACAAAATATCATAATTTCCATGAATACGATTAGTACTTTTCTACTTGTGTTATCCATAATTAGTTGATGTATAACTGAACATATGAATGAGGTGTGTGCAATCCTGTATAGATCAGTTTTTCAGATTTTTAGTCAATTTTCAGCAAAGGCAATCAGAGTAGTAATAGATAATGTTACTATACTAGTAGTACCAGAATATTAACGGGAAGAATGTCATGTTGAAAAAAACACAATTCTACTGAATTATATATAATTTGCTATTTCTGTTCTCATAGTTTCTATGGCAACACCAACTCACGCACATATACAAATAGTAAGAAACCGAAATTTGTATACTGTTGATTTGTTGCAAGTAACGTAGACTTTTTGACATTATAAAGTTCGTCATTTCAAAAAAAAATGTACAGACTAATTTAAAATGAATTTGTTGAATTTTTAATAACATCAACTTCTTTTATTTCAACATGTAGCAGAGATCTTCATCAAATTCTTAATTAATAAATCAAAGAAAAGAAATTAATTTATCTCAATCTAAACAACTGAACAATATTCTAGAGAAAAGAATCATTAAAAATAAGGTTTTTCTTCCAAGTTATTTTATCATTGGTATGCGCCATCAGAATTTAAGATTGACTGTACATAAGCTTGGGTGAAGGATATATATATATATATATATATATATATATATATATATCCGGAAGAAGTGGAAACTTTCACGTACACCAACAGCATCATCGATGAAGGAAGAGGATCCGGTACAGACGTAAAGGCGAGGTTCAGAAAAGCAAGGGCCACATTCCTATAGTTGAAAAACATATGAAACTAACAACAACTGTCAACCAATATCAAAGTCATAATCTTCAATACGAGCATCAAAACAGTCCTACTACATGGAGTCAAAATATGGAGAACTACTACAACCATCATAAAGAAGGTACGAGCATTTATAAATAGTTGCTTACACAAGATACTCAATATCCGTTGACCGGATACCATCGACAACAGCCTTCTGTGGGAAAGGACAAACTGCTTTTAGGCTCTATTAAATAATACTCAAATGAAGAGTTTTATTTCTTTGCTGTATTTATATTATGAATTAAAATTCAACTCTATTTATAGATGTAAAGTTGAATGTATTTATTACATAACTGCCGAAACACAAAAGTAATCGTTACAGTTATTCAAATATAACGGATTAATGTTTTACATTGTTTAACCATATAAAAAGATTACATAAATAATTTATTTCAAATAACCATATTTCTTATTTGACCAGAGTGTAATATTTAAAAAAAACTATTGTATAAATTATCAGAAGGGGTTTTGTGGAGATTTAGTGTTTTTCATAGTAGAAAGCATGAGTCAATTGAAGCTAGACCACCATGGAAAACCTGGAAACACTGGACGGCCGTTTCGTCCTATTATAGGACGACTCAGATTTCCGTGACTTAGAAACAGTCTTCAAAATTAAGTTGTATACATTTGGTTATTTTATATGCTATATATTAATAAGGTCCTGCTTACTTCAGCAGATCTTGCCAACTTGTATTGGAAACGATTGGAAGAAAGCTATAAGGTGGCTTAACCGGAAATGTGGCTTCAGTACATGAACTCATTGATTTCTTTTTTTTCCGACTTATGTTGACACTTTCAGAATACCTGGTTTGGGTCCGCTAGTTTACTCTGATCAGTGGTTAGAGATGATGAATAATGTGACCTGAAATCGGCTACAATGGTACAGATTTAATCACATTTTATCTTCCTTCAGATTATCAGTTTCAGTATTCCTTTGTTTATACTCCTTCATAACTTTATTTTGAACAATATTTTAAACGAAATGACTAAAATATATAACATGAATGAAAAATTTATTATTCACATTGGCTATTGTTCAATTTGCTAGGAAGGAACAATCATGAAAAGGTAATTGTTAAGTATAAGTTGAAGCCATTCATTATTATGTAATTATTTTCGAAACTTTATCGTTCAAAAGAAGTGGGTATCACAGTTTCTAAAAATCAACTAATTATGAAATCTCTCTATCTCTGACTCTATCACAATAATCAGGAACTATTCAGTTAAATATTTCAACCTTATCATTATTCTAATTAATGTTCAAATTGATTTTAGCGGTATGCCGCCATTTTGTTCTTTCTAGAAACAAATATAAAGTTGTTTTTCGAATTCTAGTGTGATTGCTATGTAGTTTATTTTTTTGGTTTTTCGCATTCTTTAACTTAGAAATGGTGTAATTTCTAATGAAAATGTAACTTTTTTAATTCTTAACACAGTTGGCATTACTAGTTTGCATCTTTTCTTCTTTTAACTAGTGTTTATGTATCTAAGTTTATGTGTATGTATTTGTATGAAATGAAGGTATGTAGATCTTGGTTCAAATCTGATAGTATTCGGGTTATATGTAAAAAGAGATATTTATGTTTTTTTGTATTTTTTTTAAAGATTTCTGATATTAAAATTGTAGCGAACTAGTAACTGTCTACCAAAATAGATTTGAATAGAAATAAATGAGAGAAAAGTTGCCTAGACTTATCTTTTAGTGATTGTGTTTATCAGTTATTGAATATCCCCCCTGTACATAGACTGTGAATACGTGCACATATAATAAATGTACGTACATTTTTATCTCTTTTAGACATTTTACATATTTATGAAATGGTCAAACTCAAATGTTAATGAACATAACTGAAAAAGTAGATTAACTACTTATAAGTAGATTAGCTTTTATTTATTACATTTTCTTAATACTTTAAAAATATATATATATATATATATATATATATATATATATATATATATATATATATATATATATATATATATATATATATATATGGAATAAGTATTTATGAACACTTACATAATTTATAGTTTACATGTTAGTCTTCATTATGAACTGATACATGAACTGGAGAAAAATTGACGTTAATTGATTAGCGATGATGATGATGATTACTATCTATTGTGTTGATGTTTGTGTTCTTCAGGTTAAATGATTTATTTGTTGAGCTTTCATTGTCGTTTTCAACGACATTTTCAGCTCTTGGTTTATTCAGAGTAATGATCTTTTCAGATATTTCACAAATTTTATATCAGTTCATTTTGGTGATTATGTTTTTGATTAGCTATCTCTGTTGGTTTTATCAATTTTATATGTTCTGGGACTCAGACTGACTGTCTTTTTTATTTTTTTTGACTCTGATTGGTTTAAGTTTTTGAGTTTAAGTATTTGACCACAGATATCTTAGAAATATTGCTCGCATCTTCTGGGATCACCGGGTAAGTAATAGTGAGGTTAGGCACAGGGTATTAGGGAATGATAGTAAATCAGTTGATGAGGTCATGAATCTTCATCGACTGGAATGGTTATGCCACGTGTTACGTATTCTTGAACATCGATTACCACTACGCGCTATGCTGACTAGTGTAGGGGATGGTTGGAAGAGATTTAGAGCCGGCTAAACCGAAACGTGGCATCAGTGCTTGAAGTCACTAACTTCTAGTCTGAGCCATGTTGGCAGATGCAGACTACTTGTTTGGGGTCCGCGTGACTATCGTAACCAATGGTTGGAGACTCTAGGTGACATGGTTCAGAATCGATCACAATGGCGTAGGTGTATACACTCTTTGTCTTCCCTTAAACTATGAGGTTAAAATTGTTTCATAACTTTCTTCCTTCTTATACTATATCCTTATATACTACCACCACTGAATTAACTACTTCTATGAATTCGGTGTTCATCTTGTTGTGCTAACAAGGTATGGCAACTTGGACTGATGCATAAATGTGCCTGGTCCTACGTTGTAGCTGACTGAGTGACTGACTGATTTAAGTTTCATGTATTGGTTGACAGATTGAATTTATATCATTGTGTCTATTGATTATCAACTGACCTAATTGTTATACTTTAAAAAAACCCTCTGGAATTTTATGAGTTTATTCGACGCAAAAAAAATTCTACGTTTTTCAAATCCAATTCACTTTTATGATTGTTTATGTAAATTTTATTACATTCTATTTCATCCAAACCCGAAAGACAATAAAAAAGTAAGTCAAATTAAATATAAGCTACAAAATAAATTACGCCAATTATGAGAAATGTTACACTTGAAACTGTGGATGCCTTCTTCACCAACGCATACATGAATACAAATTAACAGTAATATGTTATCATTGATATTAATTCCAAAAGCCTCTACCATAGCTGCTAATTTTCTATCTATTTAGTGAATTCATACAATCTAAAATGAAAGTAAATGGACGGGAACACTGATAGTTATCTACAGTGGAACTATATTTGCCACAAAGTTTCAAAATAATTAAGTACATTATTAATAAGGTCATGAATTGACTATTTTAAAGAATATCCAACTGGGAGAAAATAATGATTTACTGTGTTTTGATTTTAATTGATTCCGCATTAGATTTATCATTTCAAATACTTATTCATATTATCATAGTGGCCGATAATTCCTTACCATTATCAGCCATAACAGTATGGAATAATGGTTATCGCACAAAATTAAATAAAACATTAAACTGGTAGGGTAAATGAAAAACATTACTGACAGAACAAGTACAATCAAGGTTTCTTGTTTACTTAAATGTGGTTCAGGCATTTTATGACAATTACTGTGAAATACTAAACTTTTCCAGTTTATATTGTTTGAATTAGTTCATATATTGAGTAATCGTCGTTGATTGACACTGATCGGTAAACCAACAACCTTCACAAACACTCAGCACCAACCGCTGCATGCATATTTTGTTTTATCAAAAAACAGTCTGATGTTTCTTGAAATATCTATTCAATGTTTTCTTAACTTTTCCTCCCCATATCCCTCTCCTGCTCCCCCTCTGCGCACCAAAATTATCCAGACACAAACAGATTCGGCGTCAGAATATTCTAGTGAAACTGATGGTTCTGATGAATCAGAGATAAATAATTATTCAGGTTTCGATTCAAATCTAATATCATCCAAATTATCAACAAATTCTTCTCAAGCTATAGAATCTACCATAATCGAATTAACTGATGTAAATAATAATAATAAGGTTACTGCTTCATCACATAATCTACCTGGCTGTGATATTAATGCTACTTCGTTTACAACAGATACAACTGGACAATTAATTCAACACCAACAGGTACAAAAGTCGGATATAATTGTAAAATCTAATTCTCAACAAGTATACTTCAACTCATCAGTCGATACTCACAATAGTATTAATAATAATAACAATACCAGCACCATCAACCACAGTAATTTAACAGATTGTGATAAACGTAATAGTTCAGCCAGTCTTGACAGTGGACGAGATTCTACATATGCTACAGGAAGTGAAGGTAGTAGTGGGGTGAGTATTGAAATTGTTTTGAGTACTTCTTTTTAATCACTTTCATTTTGTTTCTTAATTAATATAATATTAATTTTGATAGATTCAATATAACTCAATCGGCAAAATAATAGTTTTCTTTGTTGTGAGTTAACATCTGTTGAAGGATCAGTGAAAATTAATCATTAGTAAGCAATTATTTCACTTTAATTCGGAACTTCTTAACATGATTCACACTTATAAACCTGAAGAGGGCATGACAAGCAAAGATGGATAGTGTCTAGCAGTGGAATCCAGAAACAAACAATACTAAATGAATCTAAAGAGGACATATTCGTAGTTCTACAGATCCCACTACGATCATAATGTTATCATATCATGGAGTCTCAATCTAAGTGTTAATCATAGATACGTTGTTGTTCTCATCTAATAACCTTGGTGGGTAACTGACAACCCTGAATTGATTAGACATACAAGTCATGGTCTAATGTTCAAGGATTGAGAAATGTGTCAGAAAATTGTTTGATAGTTTGCATTTAAATTGCTAGGATTTTTTTCGAATGGTGTTTGGAACTGCAATTGATTGGTCTCTTTGACATATGTACGTCCTGTGTGAACCAATTCGATATTACCATTAAGTCACAAGCATCATAAGCAGGGTTGGATGATAGCTACCAGGTGCATCCAAATGACGAGTCCAAAATGGGACGAGACGTACATCATTGATTCCACTGCTAACCACCATTCAACTCTGCTTATAAATTTTAAACTCCGTCTTGTAAAATGATAATAATTATTACTGTCATTACAAGATCTACGAAATTAATAAAGTGGATTACAAGCTGATTCAGTTACTAGTTCTGTCAAAGTTTGACGCTTAGATAATTAAAACTGATTCATTTAAATTTGAGCCATACTCTTTTTGTGTATGAATGCTACCTAAATACACAAACAGAAACAATTTGAATGGGCTACAGACCTCTCATCTAATAGTTTTAAGGCTATTGTTTTTACTACTAAACCGTTGACCTAGCCAACGAAATACTTAAATATTTCATACAATAGGATAAAGTCTATGTACTTTTAAGCCATTCAAATTAATTTCTTCCTTTTTTCAGTCATGTAAGTAATTGACAGTAGTAAATAAATATTAAATTTTATAATTAATACACTCAAGGGGTGATAATCATGAAATTCGTGTAGATAGTTTTAAATTATTTATCGACGAATCGTTTGATTCATAGATTGATCTACAAGTTGAAGAATGTTTCAGTGTTCTAGGGGTTAAGCTTTCGCGCTGGAGACCAAAGTTCCTTGTCAGGAGTCCTATACTAGGACGAAACAGCTATTCAGGGCTTCCCGGTTTCAATGATGGTCTAACCTAGATTGACTCGTGTATTCGATAGTTAAAATACTACAATCTCCATAAATCCCCATATTGATAATATTTCAGAAGGGGTTACTGTGGAGATTTAGTATTTTCATAGTTGAAAACGTGAGTCAATTGAAGCTAGACCACCGAGGAAAACCTGGAAACACTGAACGGCCGTTTTGTCCTATTATGGGACTCCTCAGCAGTGCGCATCCACAACCTCGCCTCGCGAGATTCGAACCCAGGACCTGTGAAGTTCAAACCACGTCTGTTGTGAGATATCAACTCACTGAAGACAATTGGTGTACGGTTGCTCAACTTCGTGGATTGATTGGAGTTAGACATAAATGTCCATCGGACGCCGACTCAGTGGTCTATTGGTTAAGTGCTCTGGCGCAAAGCGAGGTCGTGGGTGCGCACCGCTGAGGATTCCCACAATAGGACAAAACGGCCGTCCAGTACTTTCAGGTTTTCCATGGTGATCTAGCTTCAATTGACTCAAGCTTTTAACTATGAAAATATTTCAGAAGTTAAATTTCTAACATTGAAATAAATTTCACGTTTTGTTTTTAAATTTTAAAAATATCCATTTGTCCATTTTTTTTTAAAAGTGAGGTAATTAATATTTTCTTTTAATTATAATTCGTTTAATGAAAATTAATTAATTAAATTCATTCATTATATTTTGATGGACATGAAATAAGACATGACCTTTGAAGAAGTCACTTTTAACAATATAAATTTCTAAAAATTTGTACTTATACGCTTTTGAAGGTGGTTTATGAAGATTCATTCAATTTGAACAAACTTTCCATGAAATGGACTGACATCAGTTGATGATTAAAAGATAGATTAATTTATTTCACTGAAGAAAAATGACAAGTGAAATAGTCGCTTAGTATGAATATCTATTCAAAATGTTTATTCGGATAGGAAAGAAAAAACTATCATTCAACACCTTAACAAGCTAATAAGAGAAGTGGGTCATTTAATATTGGCAAAATTCAGGTGTAAATGTACATTGTTCGATTGTTGATAGGTTTATGTGCATCCTGAATTATTTTGTCGCTTCGGGGGAGGGAGTCTAAATTGTAAATGTAAGCGTTTAGTAAACTGAAAAAGAAGATAAATTGCGGACTAATTATTCAGTTAGAATAAAAGATGAAATTTGGTTTTACAATATTAGCGATCGTCAAAAATTATTTAATTTCCATCTAGTTGTTCAATTTAGAAAAAAAGACTGCATAGAAAGTAGGTATAGTTGACTGGAAAGTGGCACTTTAAATGTTAAAAATAAACAATGAAAAGAACAAGTGGTACATTCTGTTTTTGAATTTAGTCAATAGTAGAAAGATAATAGATTGAATAGATCATGTCTTTCCAAGTTCTAACTGTTAATATAAGAATATTTTACCTTTACAATACCTAAACCATGGTTAGTTACTTTTACGACATTTCATAGTGGTATTATTATCTAATCTTTAGATGACAAGGATTCTACGGGATTCGTTGCATTAAATTGGATTTTTTTTATTGCTGACAATAACCACAAGTTCGTATAATAACATCATAAGTCTTTTTAAAAAGTTAAAAACAAAAATTTTTATTTAGAAATATGATTACCTCTATTGAGAATGGACAATAGTTATCTGAGACTCATTTCTGTGCCCTGTTTAATTATTGAATTGCAATTAACATCATATTTGTCTAGTTCTCATGGTTAATGAAATTCTATCAATCATGTTACAGTTCAGCCGATAGTCTAAATGACTCGAGAACTCTTGTAATATAATTTGATGTTAATTTGTTGAAGGCAAGCGGCCTGAAACAACGAACCTCGCTTGATGTTAGTTCGAATTTATCAGCAAAGAAACAATTGAGATTAAATACCATTCAGTGAATAATCAGTGTAAATACATCAATCTTTCAGGAAGATGTATACAGTTCGAATAGGGCAGCGATGGTGCTGATGGTCGTGACACTATCTGATATTTAATTATACTATTATTGTCATGTAACTTTCAACAACTTTCAATAGTTACATTTCAAATTGAGTATTCTATGTAGAAGACAAGTGTTAGTATAAATACAGATAGATAAAAAAGAATTATTGTACATGATTTCGTTGTTTACCTCACTTTCATCTGAATAGATAATTAAAGTAATTCACAATCTGTGCGATCTTTTACAGTTTGTATTAAAAATATACCCTTCAACCTTTGTAAGGTACAATGTATTCATAATAATAATAATAATAATAATAATAATAATAATAATAATAATAATAATAATAATAATAATAATGAACTTACTGCTAAAATCAAACATAACTGTAATGACCTAGAATAATATATGTCAATCAATGAACACGAAGACATCTTAATTTAGAACAACATAAATGAGCGAACAATATTGTTTTCGATTAGATCCTCATCAGGCTTTACTCTAATACACAGTAATATGTATATGCATATACAAAATCATTATACCAATCAAGGCAGTTTATGAGTCAATGATAACAGTGGAGTAGATTACATAACTAAAAATAATAAATGAAAAGTACAAATTGGTAGTATGATGACAGGTGTACTAGTTGTGATAAGAATAATAATCAATGTTACATAATGGGAAATAGGTCAATGATTAGAGAAGTATAGACACTGAAATAATTCATAAAAATTATGAGATTACGTAATAAGAAGTGTTCAGATAATTGGACCGTGAAACATATATTTGAAACAAAATTGGTAGGAGGGGTTGACGAAAAATAAACGAAGAAAGAGTATGAAAAATGAAATCATTTATTAAGGCCAAGGGAGAGATAAGGGTGTTACAAATTTCTTATGAACACAAAGGCTTGGATTGATGGCTGGAATTCCTATAGCTTCTGCTATGTGTAAGAGACGAGATCGAACCCCATGTGGAAAACTAGTAGGAATACGATAATTAACTTTAAATGACTTATTTCTGTCAACTATATGACCGCTATCGATCAAGTGTGGATGAACCGAGATCTGTATTGCCTTGAAAGTACCTTTTCCTAACCACGAAGGGAGGTGTTCACTAACTCTTTGATTCAGCTGTCTGGTAGTGCGCCCAATATAGCTTTCTCCACAGGAGCAGCTGAATTCGTAGATACACATAGAAGTGGCATAACCAGGTAACTTATTCATTAGTTGATGAATCAGCATACATCGAGTCGAGTACCATAGGCAGAGGTTGGCTGCGTTAAATGTTCTTTTTACTGCCCTCGTTAGTCTGTTACGTAGTATATCATCAGCTACATCTCCTTTGAATTAGAGCTTCAGTAAGAGAGATTTCTTACTAGCTGTTGATATCTCTATTTACTTGTTTGTTACACACAATTGTTTCTTCAGAAAACCTTGTAGAAGCTACCGATTTTCAGCTATCTAGATATAGCTTACACATCGTTTATCAATTTCTTAGGATTTATACATAGATTTTCAATTTTCTCATCAAAATATTTATGGTACATATATATGATTACAGTTTCATCTGGAACTGAGTGTACTTCGAAATTGTAAATGATTATTTAATCTACTATACATTCTATCTAGGTTGCCAGAGTTTGTATTTAATAATAGGTAGACAATGTGGCTTTATTCAATAGCGATTTGAGGAATACATGTGTTGGTATCTTTAATATTTACACAAATCTGTACACTATAAAAGTAACTATTATTCACTACAGCCATGACAAGAGTTTATTTTTAATTAATTTTGGATATTCGAAAGAGAAATCTGAGCTTGTTGAAATGTACTACTAATGATACAGTGCCTTCGAATAATTCATAATCTTGAATATCTTTACATTCATACAGTATTCTTCCTTATTAATCGAAGAAGACATTTCGTATTTCTTTTTAAATACTTACTTTGATAGTCACTGATTATCCGAATGATAAAAGTTAGGGTATCCATTACAAATTAGTTTACTTGAGTAGTTGTAGAATTGAAAATATGAAATAAGGGGAAGCGATTTCTCCCTGTATGCTGAATATTAGAGTAGTATACCGATTGAGAATGTTCGATGAGTTTTCATGTTTGATCTACAATATCTATGTGTTGTCACTCAAATTCGGTACCAATTTCAGATAAGTCGTTTTGACATCGTAAGTGTTTTGGAGATATATCGTGGCTCATTACTTTTTCAGTGAAAGTATTTTATAACACAGGGCCTGATTTATTAAACACGTCGTATTAACGCTTTTCCAGTAGCTATCATATTGATCATCACTCTTGCATTCATTGTAACTAGTTGGAAGGGACAGTTTTACGGTTAACTTATGTTTAATGATTAACTGTCGATATAATAATACTTTAAACTATGGGTTACAGACTAATCTGGTAGGGACTGAGATACACGCTTTTTTTCTAATCTTCTGTTGGAAAATAAATGACAATCAAGGCTATGTAGTAGTCCCATACTAGGACGAAACATCCATCCAGTGCTTCCAGGTTTTCAATGGTGATCTAGCTTAGATCAGCCCATGAATTCAGCTATCAAAATTATTACAATCACCACAAATCCCCATACTGATAACTATCTAGGTGTGTCTGTTTTTACATCTTAATATCGCTTCTCATTATCTGTCGCTACATCTCTACAGAAAATAGTCAAATCCTAATTTATGAAGTGTATGTGTAGTGTTGTTTTACTGCATAGGCTACATTTGAATCAATTGAGTATATGAATGAGCTGTTTTTATCACCATTATCTTAAAATTTACAGAATAACTGGAGGAGATAATACACAGACCCATACATACAAACAAACACCTTAATGTTGGATCTGAAATTATCTCAATTAATGGAAACGGACAAACAAACATTAAAACATTGTTTCTTTCTGAAAGAATGAATATTTCTTATTTATTTGTATGTGCTTCTCTGTCCGTCTTGAATTTACTTACAACCTATTCAGTTGATTTGTTTGAAAAGCAATACTAAACTAGTGGTTGTCATTGCCACCCATGCACAAATGAAACGAATTAGTCAGACTTGTGTCCTTTGGAAATTTAATGAAAAAACCTACTTGAATATGAAACTAATAATTATGCATAGGATATCTACATCTTGATTTATTGTTTGAAAAGTATAGATAAACAATGTAAAATGGTAGATTAAGAAGCAGTCGAGAATAATATATATGTATAGAAGGTCAGTCACATATCATATAGCTCAGTGGTAACGTTTCAGACTGTGAACCATGACTACATGGAATCGAATCCAATATGGAGCGCTAATCCCTTCAAGATTACAGGTAAACATTGCCTAAGAGTACCGACTTGCGCGGGATCTATATCCAGGGTCTGTTATCGATTACCTTCAACCATCTAACAGAACATACCATTCTTTGTCCTTTCTCTTCAGACTAACATTAAAACTAGTCTATGCTTTCTTTAGTCTGTTTCTATTCATGTTTTTATTTGAGCATTCATCTGAATCGCTATGGGTTTTTTAAGCAGGTAGATTGCAAAATGTGCTATTCACCCCTTTGGTAGTCTAATGAATAAATTTTACAATATCGTGAGCATAAAACATCATTATATGGTAATATTTTCTTTCCCAGTTTTTGGAAGGTAACTGTGAAAATTTGTCAGTTCTCGTTTCTACATAAGTTTTATGTAGACTGATATTCATGTTGATTCATCATTTCTTTTAGTAAGTAGGACATCGAGAAATGGTATTTTTGATTCGTATCCTTGTGACTTTGTAAATTTAAGTGATGGTTGGAAAAAGCTCAGTAGATAATGCATTGGAAATTTAGTGTGGAAGGTACTGGACTCGAGTCTCAATGTAAACGCTAACCCTGTGATACATTTTCATCTAACTAATAAAGTCCCAAAAAGGGCAAAACGCGTACTCTGCATTACATTTACAGCTACTTGCCATATATACTAAGACAAGATAAATGTCCACATCTTTCAGAAGTTCTCCAGTTAGTTTCAGTTCATGTTGAAGATTTTATCCAGTATATAAAAGAAATGTTGATTTTTCGTAAAACCGTTTCTACAACAATATCTCAAACTTTTTCTGTTCACAGGTTCAATATCCTCAACAATATTCTTCAGATGATGGGTATATTCTATCACCAACCTTACCGTACTGTTATAATAGTCAAATATCAAGGAATAACATTATCTCAACTCGTAAAATTAATCATAATTCCAACAGTTGTACATCATTTGATCATAACTCTTCATTACCAGTAGCAACGATATTACCATTTTATAATCATCATAATTCAACTATTTATAACGTTAGTAATTGCTGTGTGAATAATAATAGTAGTAATGCTAGTAGTAGTCATAGTAGAAATTCTTCATGTCATCAGTTTAAACAATACCACCAACAACAGTTCAATAAAGATGATACCTTGACATCGCCAACACACAAGTATAACAATAATAGCAGTATAGATAATAAAATTGTCAATTCTATGCTGCAATGTACAGAACCTTGTGAATATTATCATATTCCATCGTATCAATCTGCCAGGAATTGTTGTTCAACTACTAATCTTATCAAACCATCAACATCACCGTCATCGCCAACACAACAGCAACAATCATGTTTGGCGTCTTATTCACCTTGTCAAGAAAAACATTTTACTGATTTTGATGTTTCAAGACTAAAAATACCAGCAAATATGTATCATCAATCGCAGTTTCTTTCGAATATCCCAACGCAACCAATAAATAGTAATCAATGCCAACAACAATCACATCAATCAGTTCGTTCTGCGTTAATCAATCCCGATGATGAAGCGTTGTTTGCATGGTTAAGATCAGTTGGTCTTAGTCGGTAAGTGAAGAATAAAGTATTTCTTTTAAAATGAAACTTTAATATTCTGTATCGGGTTAATACAAACTATTGTGTTACGTATCTCTAACCACCGACTACCTAGACGTACGACTTCGGCCAGTGTGAAAGCGGATTGGAAGAAAGTTAGGGGTGGCTAAAATTAGGCTAACTAACATTCTTGCTCTTTGTGATTGGCTGACCGACTGATGAATTATAATTCAGTGGCGTGTTTGTAATCATTTTAATATATGGATAATTAACTGAATAACTGAAATGTTCGAGAGAAATGAAGACTGATTATATCATCATAAATGATCATCACTTGTTGAGACCATAGACTCTTAAGTATGATATATAAATTATTTTACCAGTTAGTAATTTACTTCTCGGACTGTCTTGAACAACTACTTAAACACTGGAGACGAGGGAACACTGTTTGGAAAGTACTGTATTGAGGCTATATTGACCCATAGTCTCTGGATTTTGACGTTCGGGTCAGCTACAGTCTATTCACGATGTTAGTTGACGATCTTTCACCTGAGTAATCTCCAGAAATCTTCCCACCTTAATAGTGACAATCAGTTATTAGCAAATACTATACTTTATTTTACTAGATGGTATTCGAAGCTTGTTGTATTGGATTTGAGAGTGAATAACTTAAGACAGCTTAAAGCACCATAAGAAAACAAGCCTTGTAATTCTTAGTAGGGTAATAGAGCTCCAAATGCAACGGGACAAATGTTCTTGGAAGGTTGAATGTGGTTACAAAATTATTACAGTTTAAAAGCCTCCAAAAACAATCGAGGATAGATAATAGATTCATTCTAGTTTGGGACTCTTCTTGAGTGAACATAAATGACCACATGGGATAAAATTGAACAGCTAACATTCGGTTCTCATGATAAGTTCAATACCTTCAAGATGCTTAGTTTAGTGGTTTGAATTTTTAACCACAATTATTTTTCGACATAAAATGATTCGTATCGTATGATGTTAGTAAGTTATTATCTTCAGAATTCATTTGAAATGTCATGAGTTGTGGAATTAAGCAAATTACATATGACCATCTAAGAATGATGTGACTAAATACTGAGACTATGATAATATATAATTCCACTGAGAAGTGATTGACCCAATTGATAAATCATCATTTAAAACAATTATGATCAAGACAACTTAACATATATGACCATCCTATCTTGTTCTTCATCATTTAAATTCTCTAAAGTTAATTCATTGCTTATCAATTTATTTTCTTAATTTTTTCTTGAAAATTCATTTTCGGTGTAGATTAAGTGGATGTTTATCAAAATCCGGTTTCGATCTATGGACACTGTGTCATACAACACCGGAAGAATTGAATGCTTGCGGAATTACTAATCCATTTGATCGACAAATTTTGAGAAACCAGCTTGCTACTCTTCAATTATCAGATCCATTTACAGAAAAGCAACTGCCGGTAAAAATATTTATGAATTCTGTTTTATAAGTTGACCAATGCCATCGTTGTTTTTTTATGTTAGGTGATTGAAGTTAGTCGGTAGGTGTCCCTGTCGTTGACACAAGTTAGTAGCTAGTTGAAATCAGTAAGTTGATGAACAACATAATGCTGTTTAAAGAAATAATTGCTAAGTTCGAGTTTCAGTGTACGAAATCAACACTAGATCGTACTTTTAGTCACAATCTAACTATACGAAAAATTTGTATTATGGATATTCATAATAAAAACCGTATTCATAATATCTGCTAAGGTTTATGGATAAAATAATCTAATGGGTCAGTAAATGTAATGTAAGCTGTCTTATGTCAGAATGCACCTATATGCCTGAAATAAATAACATGAATGTGGGTAGTGATAAGAAAATGAATAGTTGAAGTAGATCATCTTAATAATCTGTAGGGAGAGAGAGAGAGAGAAGGACAAACAGAGACACTTTCAGTATATCGGAAATTTACCGCTTTATATTGTTACTTTTATTAATAGTTGTATTAATAATAATGATGATAATAATAATAGTAATAGTAATATTACCATTCTTCCCCCAAGAGATATCTTATCATATTTATATTAACTGAAATATGATAAGATGTTACACGGATGATTCATACTTCCATTCAGACAACGATACTTGAAAAAGTTCCGTAGAATTCACACATTATTTTTATTTTATTGTAAGTAATAAATTGTTATTACCGTGAGGGAGATTGTTGAATTTCATGCTTTGTATCATGATCTTATCTTACTTAGATAATTATTAAAGACCAGGAAGTACTGGGCAGCTATTTCCTGTCTGTTTGAGACCCTGCGGTAGCACGTACTGTTGTAGGGTACCATACTTTGAAAATAGATTAGTCATTTAATCGAAAGTAGTTGAAGGATATATATATAAGAACTTTCGTCTAAATTAGAGCGAATAGTTTCACAGTATTTGAGCGCCGAGTTGATGTAAGACATTAAATAGGAATAATATATATTTGTAAAATCTCAGCGAATGAATTTGTAGTAAATGCAACGTTTCGCCTGGCAATCTGGTCCAAGCTTTTTCAAGGAATTCAAAGAATTGCTAGGATTGCCAGGTGAAACGTTGGATTTACTACAAATTCATTCGCTGAGATTTTACAAATATATATTATTCCTATTTAATGATATTTCGACTTGCTACCTAATAAGTTTGAATTTACATAAGTTTCATAAGTTGCATAAACACAGAATAGGACGTGTACAGAATAGTATAAAGCGGGGAAAGATGAAATACGAGTTGCTGCGAGAGATTTTAATTGTTGTAGTGTGCTGGTAAGGGATTCGAACTCTTTTTATGAAGCTAACTGTTTAGGCTGAGACAACTAATATCCTGTAGGATTGTATGATCTGGATATTAAGGGATTATATAGTTGCCAATGCTTGTCTCATACTATTTATCAAGCTAAAAAGTGGTTACTAGTCGAAATGACTCTCAAAATTACGATACACTTTGGTAAACTACTTGGAGATTGAATTATCGGAGAAATATTCAATGTGATAGAAAGTTGTATATTGCCATGTAATTGTATTTCAGCTAATCTTCACAGCTGGGAATTTTATAATTTCGAATTGGACATGATTAACAGTACAGAGGTGTAACTAATATATTTTTTATGATTTAAAAGTAAATTTACCCAATTTTATTCAGTATAAGGTGGATTATTAGGTTGATAATCCATTCCATATTAAAACTGAATGTATTTTCATATGAAAAGCAATTGTACAACTAAAAAGTATTGATATAACTATAATAGATGTAGACTGATAGAAGAAAAGTTCATCTTATATGTGTACTGTTATTCCAGTGTTGATATTTATACTGAGACTTGAACCCAGTACCTATCATTCCAAATGTCAACACCTCATTCATCAAACTACTGATTTTAGAGAGCTACCAAGTTACTCACTAGTTGGCTACCTTTAGTAACCAAGTATCCACTCACGAGACATACATTCGAACATATATCGATCATAATTTAGCTCTGAATAATAACATCGTCAAAACGTAACTGCTTACGAATGATGAACCATTTATTTTGATGTAATAAGCATTTAAAAGGTTTTAAAACGCGGACAGTTAAAACAATGAGTAATCTTCATTGTACTTTCTCATTATAAATAAACCAAAGTTAATTGCTTTAGTTCACATGCTGACTTATTTATTTTTATTAAATAAAGTTTAATCTTGATTAAAATATTATAAAAATGATTGGCTTCTGCTGGGTTTAGTCTAGACACTAACTATTCTATATTACATAATTTCTCTTTTTTTTCTTCAACTAGGAGAATAGAAAAGGAAATGAAGAGTGAATGAAATGTGTGTGTGTGTGTAAATGTGATTTCTTTGTTCTTAATTGATGATAATGATAATAATGATGATGATAGATGTATAAATTCAAATAAGGATAATAATAGAATAGTAGTACCATATAATGAGGAGTCTCATCTAAGCGAAGTATCTATTCATTTGTTAGTAATGATTAATTTAACTTAACTGATCAATTAATTTACATAGGAGATTTATGTAGACTATCTATTCACTCACTCTCACACTTCATCCATTACCTACTGTGATAATCTGTTATATAATTGGAAATCATTAATAAATAATCATTTCCTGTCTAATTTTTTGTTGAACTAATAATACTTCTATTTGTAAGTTCATAGATATATCTTCAATGCTCTTTAAAATGCCAAATATGTAGAGATTTGGCAACATTTATACATTAAGTTTGATAGTAACTATGAGTGTCGAATTCAGTACAAGAAAACTTGGTTTAAAAGATTTTTGAAGATTATTCGCTTATTCAATCGTCATTATTTCAGAGAGAGACAGCTCATATTCGGAGATGACATAGTAAAAATCACCATATAATAAGTAGTGCTATCTTGAAATATCCATTTCGTTAGCTCATCCTGTTAGCTTTCATACAAAAAATTACATAGTAACATTGGAATTTGGTGGGAAAATCAAAGAAGCAATAGGCTGATAACTTGACATCGATGAATAAAACATAGTTATGTTGAACTAGCATTTATTTATATATCATGACATCCAAGAAACAGTTTTCCTTTCCATCTAACTATGCTGCTTTAGGTACTTAAAATTGAGATTATTAGCCTTTAATGTTTTCTCTAACCTGTAAGATTAATTGTGTTTACTATGACGTTTAATAGATTTGCATTCGATTTGTAAACAGATTGTATATGTGAATTTATGAAGATTGTAGTATTTTTACAGTTGAATTCACGAGTCGATCTAAGCTAGACCACCATTGATAACGTGGTGGCACTGGACAGGCGTTTCGTCCTAATATAAGACTCCTCAGTAGTATTTATCCATGACCCCACGTGCGAGAGCGAAGGTTCTGAGTTCGAGTCCTGTATGCGTAGTCGTGCGTTCGCACTGATCAAGAGTCGCATACTGGAACGAAACAGCCGTCCAGTGCTTCCAGGTTTTCCATGGTGATCTAGTTTCAATTGATTCATGATCTCAACTATCGAAAATAAGATAGCTGGTAAAACTATCAAGAGTTATTTTGAATGACCAATTCATAACATTGCGTTTTTTATCTCTTGTAGAGTATGTTCAGTTTTATTTTATTTCATTTCAATAACTATTATGGCTTATTATTACTTTTTTTCATCATCATCATAGGCTAGTGTTCATGAATGGTTAATACAATTACATTTACAACAATATTGGCCTAAATTTAATGATCAAGGTTTAATAACATTTGAACAAATTATTCGTATTACTTGGGATGATTTAGAAGAGATTGGTGTTTCCAAATTAGGTACGTTTTATATCTTATTTTAATTTTAATGATATACTACTATTATTGACCTAATAAGTATTTTATCGAAGTGTTGATGTGTTTATGAAGATGTTAGCATTTCTATATTCTTTTTCACAATGAAATTACTTACTTACTTACTCCTGTTACCCCTCGTTGAGGAGTATAGGTCACCCCCTACTATTCTCCATTCAACCCTGTCTTGGGCAATTTTTTCCAGTTCTTCCCAGTTGTTATTCATTCTTTTCATATCTGCTTCAATCTCCCTGCGTAATGTGTTCTTTGGCCTTCCTCTTTTCCTTTTTCCTTCCGGATTCCAAGTTAGGACTCGCTTCGTTTGATGGTTTCCTTAATGTTTATCATATCCACTTCCAACGTGTTTTTCTAATTTCTTCTTGAGCTGGAAGCTGGTTTGTCCTCTCACATAAAATGCTGTTGCAGGTGATATCCGTCCAGTGAATGTTGAGTATTTTGCGTAGACAAGTTTATAAATACTTGTACCTTCTTGACGATGGATTCAGTAGTTCTCCAAGTTTCAGCTCCTTACAGTAGGACTGTCTTGACGTTCGTATTAAAGATTCTCACTTTGAAATTAGTACAATGAAATTAGACTTCAGATTATTTTCAAGTCAGCAATGAATCATTTACCTTTTATTTTTTTTAAAAAAAAATCAGTTTTGGCGAAATTCTTTTATATTCATATTGAATACCAATGCTTCCAAAAAATTTCACATATTTTCATGATCAAGATCAAGCTACGAATATTCTGTCAGGTACTAAATCGAATGTGAGTACAAACAGAACAATCTGATTAATATCTATACATTGATTTCGTAACTTATTTTAGAACAAAGAACTGAATAAGTCTTATTCTTACTCTTTTACTGCTGTTAAGTTGTAAAGAACTGTCTGACTAAAATCGCCAAACCTATCAGAAGTGTAATGAATGAAAAAAAGTGGGGACAACGAAATGCGTTTAGATACGAAATTACAGAGTTGTTCCTTAAAATATGAGGACCTTTCATTGAGTACTTCATTTACAAATTTTCATCATTTGCCCTTCACATTCCTTATGCTTCTTCCAAATTACAATTCCTTTCTAATTCTGTTATGTCTGTCTACATAAGTAGAATAGACCACATCAGTTGTTAAAAGTTGGTATGGTTGGGATTTACTTAATTCTCGATAGTCATAATGATTTTATTATTAATTGTTGGTTAACTATTGATCATCACATGAGTTTTCCTAGAAATTTATAGTTCGAATGATTACACCTAATAATTTCAGGTATACCAACTAGCTAGTTGTAGGTGGAACTTGGAATTCACGGAGTTGTCGTCCTTAGAGGTATTAGTTAATCATCCTAGTGTAGCTATAAGTAAAACAACATTCCTGAAGCGTTGTGTTGTTCTCATAGCTGGATTGTTCAATCATGAAGCTTTCATTATTTTTTTTAAACATCAGTATATGGTAAGCGGAGATGGATAGTGGCTAACAGTGGAATCCAGGACGCGCTTTTCGTCCTATTTGAGACTTGTCAGCTGGATGTACCTGCATCTAAGAGTTGATGTTCACTCTGGGACTCGAACTCAGTACCCTCGCTTCAAACGCCATCGCGTTATCCACTAGGCCACTGAGTCCTGATAGCCACTTGCTTGTGCGATAGGGTGAAGTTTAAATTAATTTAGTGTTGTTTGTTTGAATCTTTTCATTGATGTGTTAGGGCTGCAACTCTGAGATGCAGGCACATCCAGCTGACGAGTCCCAAATAGGATGAAACGCGCGTCCTGGATTCCAATGCTAGCCACTATCCATTTCTGCTTACCATGCTTGTGAATTAAGGCTATATCGAGGCAATACGCACAGTATGCACATATGCCAATTAGAGACTGACCAGTTGCACTCCTAACGAATCGATGGGAAGATTCAAACAAATAACTCTAAATGAATTATCAATGTATTCCTCAAAAAGGAGTAAGCTATTCAAATTTCCTCTGTTCACCTGGAATTTACGTGGCTGTTTTTCACGGTTGTGTGACTGTTGTTTGCATGTTGATTTTGATTATCTTTTTCCCTGACCTATTATCCAACACCGCATTGTTTTGTCCTTTTTCTTATCATCTGGTAGATTGTATTAGGTTTGATATCCCTACTACTTGATGAGTGACCAGGATGCCAGACTTTCGAAAATTTTGACTTTTTTGTTTCCTTGGTTTGAAATTTTAACTTTTCCGAATGTATTCATATTCATGGTTGTTCATAGGTATTGATATAAGCAAATCTGTATCATGACTTTCTACAACTAGTTGGTGTCTACTTGGTAGGAAAGTATATTCAGTAAATATTTTCTACATTTATAAACAGATAAAAATTTTGACTAAACGGTTTAAACACTTAACTTTAAACCATTTAGATTAATAGTTTGATATTTGTGTACTTATATGGCTTATAAGGAGTAATTAAATCTGTAGCTCTTAAAGGAAAATCTAGTTCAAACATGAGTTACATTGATCTGGTAACAAAAATAGATAAAACCAGAAAAGTTAATATTCAGTGTGTGTTACGTCCCGATAACAATATTGAATGGTAACTTTGGGATCCATTGTGGACCAATATTATGCACGTATATTTTATCGTATAATTGCTAAATAACCAAACTATTCATATTCGTCTTCCCCTTATTATAAGTTTTATTTTGACCTATAGACTATTATTATACGATTTAGCAATCTTGGGTTATCCCTAGTCTATTAATTGCTGCCTCTCACATTCACAGCCACATTTGGCTATACCTTGTACAAATGTTATTTTCTATTTTATGGGGTGATGTAGTCAGTCTGTTTGGTATATAAACTCAGTATGTCTGAAATGCAATCATTCATACCATAGAGGCTGTTCTGGACTTAACTTGCTGGGCTAGGCAGAAGCAGCAGTGATACGTACTCTAGACTCCTCGTATGGTTTTCGTGTGTCATTGTTCCAATCGATAATTCGCTGCTCTCTGATTGGCGGTCTTATCACGTCATACATTAACTGGGCATCTACTATGCAATCTTTTTAATTAATCATTTATATCACTATTGTTTTAACATATCGTGTTTTTTTCACCATAGAAACTTGTTTTAAGTTATTTTCACCTATATTAAATAAGATTTATGTTTTTCCCCTTCTTATCTCATATGTAGGTCATCAAAAGAAACTTCTCACTGCTATTAGTAAATTAAATCGTCTAGTTTTATCATCAAAAATCAATTGTACTACTACAGGTTATAATTTGAATCCTTCAATGAATTATAATAAATCAATTTATCCACTTCAGAAAGATATTAATTACGTACAATCATCTACTTCATCATTTGTTCAAAATGATAATGGGTCATCATCATCACCACTAGTAAATTGTGATTATGTGACAAAATTGTCACAACATCAACCTAATTACTATAATGTTGATAGAACAAGTGAAATTAAAAAGAAGGAATATCGTCAACAATCTTTAAAAGGTATGAATAAGTTGTTACTGTCTTTTCATTTCAATAAAAATAATCTTATATAGTTGAGATCATGAATCAATTGAAGCTAGATCACCATGGAAAACCTGGAAGCACTGGATGGCCATTCCGTCCTATCACGAGACTCCTCAGCAGTGTGCACCCATGACCTCGCCTCGCGAGATTCGAATCCAGGACCTACCAGTCTCGCGCAAGAGCACTTAACCGATAGACCACTGAGCCAGTATCCAACGGTGTTAATGTCTAATTTCAACCGATTCACGAAATTGAGCAACCGTTCACCAATGTCTTCAGTGAGCTAATATCTCCCAACAGACCTGGTTGAACTGCACTGGTTATTGCTTCTCACTAGAACTCCAGGTAATACGTCATGGAGCCAGTCACTGGTGAGCACCTGATGATTATCAGAAAGGTTTTTTTGGAGATTTTAGTAATTTTATATAGTTGGGATCATGAGTCAAATGAAGCTAGACCACCATCGAAAACCTGGAAAATAATCTACCTATTTTGTAAATACGCTCAATATTGAAATAGCTCTATTTCCTGAATTGATTGATGATTACAACTGTATGAACGATTAGTATTTTTTTCCTCAGTAAAAGAGTAATTGGAGATTAACACATAACAATACTATAAATTTCACACCTTGTAAGTGATTATGGAGGTGAATACTGATAAAACATCTATTTAATGCAACTCGTCTTCTGACTTCTAATCTGCTGATGTCATTTGATGATGAAAAATACCTTTGTATTATTGTAAACAAGTTTATAGAAAATCACCGGTTACACGACAATCCTCTTATTATCCATCATAATTGATGTATATAACGATTTAATTGATCTAGAGCATTCTACTTTCGGTTAACAACTAGGAACCTAACACTTTTAGACTAGTCTCATTAAAGAGTATTATTATTCATTGTATAACTGTTGTATAAATATCTCTTCGATTTTCACAAACTAGTTTTTTGATGAGGTTATGTATTGGGTGTGATAAAAATAAACTAAGATACGAAAATGGACACTCAACTAGTGCATTTCATAGTAGATGTTTCTGTTATGGCATACGACCGCAGACAAATATCACTTGAAAAAACCACCAATCATAATCATAACTTCTATAAACATGTTTCCCTGTGTTGATCCATTTCATGCCCAACCAGCACTAGTAACCTTGAGTCAACTCCTAAGACCTTATTATCACATAATTTAACTAGTTCTTCTCTCTGCCTTTACCCTCAAGTTCAGAAGTTAGTAATCAACCTTCAACACATTAAATTTCAAGCAGACGTAATTTGTATACAAACGTACCTAGTCACATGAAGCCAAAATGTGGCTATGAGTAGGGGATACTGTAAATAACAAACTGGCGACACATTAAAAACAACAAATCGCCTAACAATAGTTAATGAATCAATCGAATGCTTATGATAAAATGCATATACATATAATTAATCATTAAGGAAAATGTTTTCGAACAGATCGAAAGAAAAGTATTTCCTATTGCAAAATCTTTCCTTATTTCAAATAAGAAAAAAATTTTCATAGTTGAAATCATAAGTCAATTGAAGCTAGACCACCATGAAAAACCTGGAAGCAGTGGACGGCCGTTTCGTCCTATTACGAGACTCTTCAGCAGTATGCATCCACGATCCCGCACTCGCGAGATTTTAGCTTCAATCGACTAATTATTTCAACTATGAAAATACTAAATTCTCCACAAAACACCTAAGAAAAAAATTGTCTAAATTTTTTTCTAAAAAAAACATGCATAAACATAACTCGTAAAATTAAATTTACTATCATTCACAATAAACATAAACACTTGGATGATGAAGATATCGTAATTATACCACGCAACAATATGTATTTATATATCTTAATAAGTTGGGCAGATTTGTGAAGATTTTTAAACTGTCTAAACATTAACTTTTTACTGAACTGGTGGTAATTTAAGCAATTGATACAATGTTCAAAGATTAGATTCAACAGTCTATTCTAATCTTTTTTTTCACTGATATTATGAACCCGCTTAAGTTAGACCATCACTGGATGACCATTCAGTTCTTCTAGGTTTTCAAAGGTAGTCTAAGTTAGATCAGTTTATGATTTAAACAATCTCCACAACCCCATACTGAAAGTCAGGTTTTTAATGATAGGAGAATGAGTCGTCGATAAGTTGACTTCCTCAAATCACTTATGACATTCTACCATGTTTATTTTGTGTGCATATTCTGTGTATAAGCATGCTATTTTATTACATAATAAAGTTATTTGTCTGGCTAATGGTTTTGTCTTTGATTTGAAGCCATTCAGGGCTTTGGTCGATAATATGGTTTCGTCATTATCCATCATTGGGCCACATATCATAACATTGCAATCATTTTGTAATTAGTATTCTACTCATTGATTTTAATGATCAAAAATTTTGTTCATCAAATCAATTAAAACCTTCATAACACCTTTTCAAGTTCCATAAAGAGCAGGTATACCTTACTAATGAGTGTCCACCAGGGCGAATTTTTTTCAAACTACCTCCAGCTATTTGATGTAACTACACAGCTACCTTGTGTTGATTTTGAACTAGACCGCAATGCTTTCTTGATGAGAGTACAATAGCATTAGACCACCACCTGGTTGAACCTAAATGACCTGCTTCACTACTTTCTTTCGGTTACTCACTAAAAAAATGTTTGATCATTTGAATATATGTCAAATTTTTAAAAATAATGTTTAAGTGTTATTTAAAACTGGAAGATAGAAACATTACTGTTTATATTTTAGAATAGGACTTTATAAAAAGACCTGATATACTTTATCGAAACTAGAAGAATCTTACTGCTATTATTAGCTTTATTACCCAAAATTCTTGTCCAATCAAACCGAATAAATCAAAACTGATAATGCAGATGTTGTACAAAATCGACAAGAAACATCTCCCACATATTATCAATGAAACATATATGTGTCTGACGAATAGAGATATTCCTCCGAATTTATAGGTTACCCAGATTCCGTGCTAACTGTCACTTGTCTGCAAGATATATCTGAAATTTCGAAAGATTTGAACTCGTGTTATCCTTATTTGGATCAACACCAGACCTGTTGTGTTGGATTGAGGAGTTTTTTCATTCATTGATCTAATTGTTGAATAACCAATGTTATGTTGTTTAATTTTTTGTGTTTACTCTTCGTTTTTTCCTACGATCAAATGTTTAAATGACTAGGTACCTCGATACACTTTTTTTAATGTAAGACTAACAGATTTGTAACTATTTGCTTAAAAATTTCTTGAAAAATGATTCCACTTCGAATCTCAATTCAGGATTCTGTGTTATTTTAAATAGGGTATCAGCTGTTTGTATCACTAAACCAGACCTTATTAATAATAATAACAGTGTACTCTAAAAATTGGTACAGAATGTATGAAAACTTAGAAACATGATCAAGTGAATACAAATTGTTACATAATACTAATAACAATAAACTAAGGTTTATGTTTTCCGATATGTCTCTACTAGGTTGCTTCATAATGAGCATTTTGTATGGATTTAATAGTAGTACGAAATACTTGGATGTATGGAGGATGCATTGGTATTAGTGAAATAACTCAGCAGTACTGCATTAGTAATTGTATATAATCCATAACAAATGGACAGATTTAACAAAGATAGAGTTGTCATCAGTATACAAACTGATGGTTTTTACAGAACTACTAAATAGCTGGTATGAATAGATCACTAAATAAGTTTTTGTACAAGAAAACTACATATTTCCTATAGAAGAAAAATAAAATAGTCTACACTAAATATTATTTGTGTTCCTTACGTATGATTACATTAAAGAGTACTTCTTGGTATTGTAGTGAGATATGACCTGTAAAGACAACCAAGTCGAGAGCCATTTAGTTACCTACTATTGTCTTATTGGATGATCATCTCGCTATATCATGAATAGACGGAAGCTAATTGATGACTAAGTTGCCTAATAAAATCAAGATGTTATTATTTAACCTGTTTAAAGTTATAGGCTAGCTGTTCTTAAGTATTACAAATGAAGACTAAAAAATCCTTCAGGAATTGACAGTTTCCTGTGATCAATCAGTTTTCGTCAGTTCATAATGAAAGTATCAAGGAGACAACATTAATTCAGATAATTTGAGCGTTTTATGGCTGATTCATTTTTCCATTAAATTAATCTCTATTATGAGTAAAGATGAATGGTGGCTAGCAGTAGAATCCAGGAAGCGCGTTTCATCCTACTCGGAACTCGTCATCTGGATACAACTAGATCCTAGAGTCCGTGTTCACCCCAAGGTTCGAACACGGTACCGTTCGCTACAAACGCCATCGCATTATCAATTTAGCTACTACGTCTTGATAGCCAACTGCTTGTGCAATGGGGTGAAGTTTAAATTCACAGGGTATTGTTTACTTAAATCTTCTCATTAATGCTCAGGACTGCAATTGGTCAGTATGCACGATATGCACATATGCCAATAAAAGACTGATCAGTTGCAGTCCTAAACATCGATGGGAAGATTCAAGTAAACAATACCAAGTGTATTTAATCTCTTAATTTGTAAAATACAAATTAAAATATATTAAAACGCTTAATAATTAAACAATTTTTTAATACGGTCTTTTGTAGCACCATGTTTTGTACCCCTTAGTACACAGTAATACAGCATAATCATGTGTACAGCTAATTAATGTTGCACTACAAACAACATTTTAACAATACTAAGCAATCCAAATCGAAATTAAATAGGTCTTTGAACGTTGTGATCCTGATATTTTATTCACAAATTAACAGTTTAATTTCTATTTCCAATAATCTCTTGAGACAATGTTAGTTAAATTCATATTCTTTATAAAGTTTCAGAAATCGGAGTACAAGTTGAAGGAAGTCTAACGAAATCACATACTTCACCGTCATCACCTTGTTCTTCTTCTTCCAATTCAACAACCTCAGATTTATCATCAAATGATTCACGATATTCCCTTCCTCCGCCAGTTGATTTTCAAGACTCACCACCGAAATCATCTTCATCCTGTTTTCCAACTATTTCATTAATTCACAATTCAGAACATTCAGGTTCTAATTTACAACAGTCTAATTCTTCTTGTATAATAAATGGACAATTAAGATCTAATCTTTCCTCTTGTACTACTATAGCTAATAACAATGTTCAATCTTCTCATTCATTATGTAATATTCATAATCCTATAAATGTGGATAACACATTATTAAACACAAATTCAACATCTATACACTTCAGTAGTTCTGAGTATCAGAAAGAAGAACAATTGAATAAAGTAGAACAATCGAATATATTTCGAAGACGTTCTTCCAATCCTACATTATATTCACTGAAACCTAATGATCCTGTACAAAATACTAACGATTTATCAAAATGGTCCTCAGGTTAGTAGTAGTACGAATGTTTTTGATTGTATTAACAATTTAACTACAAAATGAGGTAGGATTACTTTTGTTAATTAATTAGTTTGACATAGAAATATATTTTAGCTTAAATTCAATTTCTAAGAGCTAATCGAATGAAATTTTTTTTTGTTTTTTAATATCGAAGTTACTTGTAACATATAATTACGTAATAAATGTTCTATATCGTTATTTTATTTGAAAAAAATTGTTCAATTTATATGGGAAACTCGTTTACTTGCCTTGATTGAATGAAATCATCTACCTACTTTTCCATCAGTAAGTGAATATTCACCAACTGAACAAAATTTTAAATGTAAACTACTCGAAATCTAATTCACCAGTCTAATGATATCATACTTATTAAGAAACTTGAAAGTACATCATAAGTCTTAAATAATGCAGAGTTACAATGTAAAATGTGAAACCTATTAAGAGCAACCTTATTTTCGATGGCTCTTTCACCCAATTATAGTTTATAACATATAATGTTGTTTTAATGTTGATCATACTGAGGGCTGATTTCATTTATTATATGTTTCAATTTATATTACAGTTAATAATTGAACATTCTCAGATTTGAACATATTTCCAATCACTTTTTACAATATTCTGATTTTGTTATGACTTGTGGCCAAGTGGATGCCCAGTTAATGTATGACGTGATAAGACCGCCGATCAGAGAGCAGCGAATTATCGATTGGAACAATGACACACGAAAACCATACGAGGAGTCTAGAGTACGCATCACTGCTGCTTCTGCCTAGCCCAGCAAGTTAAGTCCAGAACAGCCTCTATGGTATGAATGATTGTATTTCAGACATACTGAGTTTATATACCAAACAGACTGACTACATCACCCCATAAAATAGAAAATAACATTTGTACAAGGTATAGCCAAATGTGGCTGTGAATAAGGGGAACAGTAATCAATAGACTGGGTGTGGTTCATGAATGGTAAATCGTGTAACAATAGTTTATAGTTCAAAATAAAGCTTATAATAAGGGGGATACGAATAGGAATAGTTTAGTTATATAGCGATTATGCGATAAAAAATATATGCATAATATTGGTCCATAAATGGTTGTCAAAAGTTACCATTCATAATTATCTTCGGGATACAACAGATTTTAAATATGCAGTTAATAATTTTTAGGAGTCTAGTAAATTCTTTATAAGTTAATAGTAATAATAATATGGGGAAACATATATATATTCCATGGACTATTCATTTTTTGAAGTTAATCTTTATTGCAAATTGACGAGTTTCGGGCTGTCTGGATATCTTTGTTTATTCTGCTTACAAGACTGTTTAGAAGCGCTTCTACTCTGCACTAGATACAGATCAACACTTTCAGATATCATAACGAGAACTGCACTTTCAATCCAAGTCACTTTTATAGATAAAGGCATCATTTCTTTACACAATTGACTGTATTTGCCAAGAAACTCGAAAGCTTTATTTACAATTTAGTCTTTAGAGTGTATACACGGTTTGACCGTTATAGACACTTCATAGGGATTTGTGTAGTATAAATATAGTTTTTCTAACAAACTGATGCCAATTGAAGTACCATTAAAAACCAGGACACATGTGACTAGGATTTTATTCTAGTTTGCCATTGACGCATCAATGAGCCAGTTAGTCAAAGGACGGTACTCAAGCGTTGAATGGAGCGAACACTGTGAACCAACGAGATTTTAACAAGCTTCCTAAACGTTACGTTTGTTAGACAGTCTGGAAGTTTTAGGTTCTAGATGCTTAAGATTTAAGGATTTATACTACTTGTAAATTTAATTAATAATATGATACATTCTTGAGTCCCTTCTTAAATAACTCCTCAAGTCATATACTTTCATGATGAAAATCAGTTGAGAATTGGTCCCAAGTCACAAAATAATCACGATTCTTCGCTTCTTTAATCGAACTGGAGACTTACGGATCTCACTGTAACGTCTGTAGCCTTCGGGCTACTGAGTCACTATCTAATAGTTAACTTAAATCAATTTGCAGTATATCACAATAATAACCAGTTTATATCATCTCGTCGTTCGGTATTGAAATCCACTAGCTATAACTGCCAACTAGAACTGTAGCAATCCGTCTTAAAACTAGTTACTATTGGATAATTTAATGATTAGTTAGTTGAAATATTTGATGAGATAAGTTTGATTTAATGACAGTTTTTATAATAAACTGAAATCAAATTAGTATTTGTTTATTAATAATAGTTAGTACAATCAATACGATTATTTTCATCTCTCACTGACTTAGTATTCGATTTCTTCATGTTACTGTATTTTGTAAACTTGTTTTTCCATATAAAATAAATGGATTTTGGTTAGCCGTTGAATTTAGGACCCGTGTTTCGTTCTATCCAGGACTCATCAATAGGATGTTTACACTGGGACTCAAACCTAGCACTTGTTCGTTTAGACGCCAACATCTTATCCATTGAGCCACTGATTACACATGAACACTAACTTGTTAAACTGGTATGAACTTATTTGTCAGGGTTTGCGTTGTTCCACTGGTAATATTCAACACATATATATATATATATATATATATATATATATATATATGGAGAGAGAGAGAGAGGTGGAAAATTACCAGGTGATAACTTATATTAATTCTAAGATTGCTTTTTGTTATTGTCAATATTGATCATGACGATGATGACGATGATAACGTGACATTGAGAAGGGGATGAAAACATAAAAGACGATTTCGATCGTTATCCCCCTTGTTTTCCCTTCAGGACAGTTTTGTTATTCATCCAGTCTTTTTTTTTACATAAATATTTTTTTTTGCTTTTATGATTAGATATACACATAAGTTTGTCAATGTAGATATATATCTATATATCTTCATACAATAATATTAGAAGATTTCAATATTGTTTATAATAAGTTGATAATAATAATAACTTGACTGTTTTCATCTTACTGGGTTTCCCAAGAAACTTAATTTTAATTTATTAAAATGTGTTGTGTTCATTAGACTGACGATGGTGATGATGATAATGATGATGAATCATTTCCCTGTCTGTTCTTTTCACTTAATACCATTATACAGTAATATGAATTCATATAAAATTTATATTCATTTATTTATGACTGTATAGATGTAGCTTGATGTGAAGAATAAAATTATTCTAAATAATTACATTTTTTCCCATTTCTGTTTTTGATTGGTCGATTACTTTTATACGTTTATATTATGTTACTCATCAGTGTTTTAGTAAAAGGTTAGCTAACATTAGATGAAACATTTTCGTTTTATAAGCAAAGATGGATAGTGGCTGGCAGTGGAATCCAGTTTGGGACTCGTCAGCTGGATGTACATGCATGTCAGAGTTGATGTTCGCTTTGGGACTCAAACCCAGTACCATTCGCTTCAAACGCCATCGCGTTATCCACTCGAGTCCCAGAGTGAACATCAACTCTGAGATGCAGGTACATCCAGCTGATGAGTCCCAAATAGGACAAAGGGACGCGCGTTCTGTATTCCACTGCTAGCCTCTATCCATTTTTGCTTACCATGATTGTGAATTAACGCACAGTATGCACATATGCCAATTAGATACTGACCAGTTGCAGTCCTAAACATCAATGGGAAGATTTAAACAAACAATACTAAGTGAATTTTCGTTTTATGTTTTATACTATTTAAATAGTATAGTTCATTTAAAGTAATTTTCTGGGTTGATCTTTTAAAAGAATTGAATTGAAGGGATGCCACATTAAGTCATATTCGTGAAGCCCCTATTTTTTATTGAACTCCACTTATCACATTGCAATTTGACCGTAAATGTGTACGGACAAACGTTTAGGTCCATTGTATTTAATGTTGGCTGATTGATTGGAATTGAAATATGTAGAAAGAACTTGGTCAGCGCTGTAGACTAGGCAAACATAACATTGGTTACTAAAATAAGTGACCACTTGATCTATCCGCCTTAAAAAAGATCATTTGACATATGAAAAGCTCAATGGTTATGTGTCTAATCGTGAATCTAGGGGAGCAAGGTCTAAATTGTGCGGGGAACATCAGTTTTTTTTTGAGGTAATTGTTATATCTTTCTGATAAGTACCAAATAGCATAAAAAATAGATCAACCAAGGATTCTTATGAATCGCATTCAACTGCTTAACATCATACGTTACCGATATGTCAGTCAAAAACTTGAATATTGATGCGGATGAAGTATACTGAGGAAATAGTGGTTACAGTTTTGTTTTACTCAAGTACTTTTTATGTGTTGACAAATTAGAAATGCTTAGTTATAAATTAAAAACATTTTGACAACAACCATATTAGTTGTTGAGATTTCTTATTTTTATTGTTAAGTTAGCAGCTGTTAAAGTCTCCGAATCTCAGTTCGCTCTTTTATCTATGAGTCAAGTATTCATTGGTTTTTACTGATATTCATAAAGAGTCAGTCCGTGGTGAATTTTAACAGAATTGAAATGAACAGTATCATTGTTATGCGATGCATAAAATGAATAATTCTATTAAGTTTTCAAATTGTTTTATCTTGGGATAAACAAACATACCGTTAGCTAAGTTTATGTTGAGATCATGTACACCAGATTTTTGTGATGAGTTGTTATGAATGAATACATGATTTACAAAAAAGTTTCCTGATGTGCTTTATCAACCTTTAAATACCATTTATTTACATTTATTTCTTGATTAGGTCTTTTAACAACTCCACAATTACGACTCCCAATCAAGTAAGTTAAACATTTTGAAACAATGTTTTTAAGTTTATTCAAAATATATAGTGTTGTTTCAGAGATATTCTGTTATAGTTTAGTAGCAAAAGTTGGAACGCGCACTTCATCCGATTTGAGGCTCGTCAACTGGATGAACCTAGATCCCACAGTTGACGTTCAATTTGAAGTTCGACCCCAGTACCATTCGCTTCAAACGCAATCGCATTATTCACTTAGATACTGAGTTCAGATAGTTGCTGACTAGTGCGTAAGGGGGAAGTTACTAATTCATTCGTATTGGTTGTTTAAATATTCCCATTAATGTTTAGGATTGAAACCGATAAGTTTTGGTTGTTATATGTGCACCTCATGAGGACAACGCGATGAGGTTTGATGCGAGCAGTAGTAGGTTTGAGTCCTGCAGTAAACATGAACTCTGATGTGCAAGTACATCCAGCTGACGAGCCTCAAAAGAGAATGAAGTAGGCGTCATAGATTCCACTGCTAGTCATCATTCATCTCTGCTTGCAATGCTTGTGAATTAATATCATTATCGGGGCAATCTACACAGAATGAATATATGCCAATAAAAGACTGATCAATTGCAGACCTGAACATCAATGGGAAGTTACATTTTCACTCGGAAAAACAATTTTTCTATTCATCGGGATATAACAAAAATACATTTGTTATCAATGGGAAGGTTCGAACAACCAACAAAAGTGAATTATTCTGTTGTAATTGTTACATTGGTTTGGGTTAGTCGGGATAATGGCGTTTAAGATGTGTAACTAAAATGAATATGATTGTCCCAAACAGTTTTAGCTTCGACGGCTTGTTAAATAGAATCAGTATTCTTTACTGTTAAGATTTGCATTTGAAATTGTTATTGCTGTGACTCAGAAATAAATTAATCAATATTTATGTGCATATGGGCACCCTGAAAGAAAGCCAGATTATTAATCACACTAACAAGTTGATAGTGGTTATGAATGAAGTTTAAAGTACATATTCCGTTCTACTGAAGATCTATCAGTGCCTACTTCATCATTGATATCGTTACTGAATCCTCTATATAAACGACGAATGAATATCAACCCTTTTTAACAAATGTTGACTATCATATCCTAGTGCATAACACTTGTTGTCTTTGAATTTTTAAATATCAGATTCAAATTTCAGTAGAGGATAAATGCTGAAGGATCAAATGTATTCATTTAAAAGAATGACATTAATTTAATTAATCAAAATTTCTTATAAACATTCTTTCCATAAATTCAACCATCTAATATCCTTGAATAATTTCAACCAATTAAAGTTGACCAGTTGATTATCTTAATTAAATTATAATGATCCATTCAAGACTTCTTATTATAATTTACTCAATGAAATGTTTCACTCTTTTTCTTGTTATAAATAATCATTTCTTTGTGTTTTCATGGTTGAAATGATGAGTCAATTGAAGCTAGACCACCATGGAAAATCTGGAAGCACTGGACGGCCGTTTCGTCCTATTATAGAACTCCTCAGCAGTGCGCATCTACGATCCCGCCTAACGAGATTTGAACCCAGGACATACAAGTCTCGGGCCAGAGCACTTAACCGATAGACTAGCTTCAGTTGACTCATGATTTCAACTATGAAAATATTGAAATCACCACAACAACCTTTTCTGATTTTCTTGTGTGTTTTTTTCGCATATAATTTTATAGTGTCAATTCCAGTTCTGATCCAGATTTGGAAGCTATGCACAATATACAAATTATGCTTGATCAAATTAGTGAACGTCTTATCTTAACTAATAAATAGTATTGAAATTTGAAATTTTCGATTGAAAACAAATGAGCATACAAGGTTCAATTTGTTTCAACTTAAACAAAAAATTAAGTTCATAATCATTGATTATTTGAAATATACACTCATTCAATTGATTTATTTCATTTAGTCATTTTTTTTGTTTTTTTTTTTGAAAGACATTTACTGATACAATGTTATCATTAAGTAAACATAGAATATCATACTTCTTATTTGGTTATTTTATCACACGATTCATTTATCGTGCCTTAATTATTATAAAGATAGATTCAATATGATTTTGGTCTGTCAATAAAAAGCTTTCATTTTGGAGCGGGAAACATGTATGGGTTTATCAGTGACAATTATTTCAATTCATCCCTAAAGTATACTCTTACCGTTATATATATATATATATATATATATATCCAACTTGATTTCATATTTTAACACATCATCATCCCTTGTCTTAAATTCCTTTCTTTCTCCATCCTCCTTGTATCTCTTTGTTGTTATATGCTTGTGTGTGTGTATGCGGTATTTTTCACTTCGTCTTTTCTTCAAATATCATTGTCAAGTAGTACGTATCATGTATCCCTTTAAAACATTTCGGCGGCAAAATAATGTTCCAAGAAAAATAAGCAGCTTTTTCTTACTGTTTTTATCATATGTAAATATCATGTTCTTTTTGATGTATAATTTCTTTGTTAAATAGGTTAACAGAAGAAAAAGTCGTTTATCCCTAAACTTATTTTATGTATTAAATCATTTGCGTGAACAAAAGGATTAGGGTATTATTCATTTGACATTTTTATCGATGATTAAATCATTTTTCATTAAAAAGCAAATATAAGTTTCTTTAAGCCTATACTTATTAATTGTACATTCAACTAGATATTATTTATTTTTAAACTTACCCAATATCAGAAATACAGTTGAGGTTATGAGTAATGTTTCAGGACTTACAGTCATTTTTTCCTCCTATTAAATCAGTGGGAGTGTAATCTTTATCAACAGTTTTACTGCAAACGTCTGGCGTTATTTGCAACTGACTGGTGTGAAGATTTTATTTTAGCGCAGTGGATACAAAACGTAAACATAGTGAAAGTTAAGACTCAAAATAAGTTCCTGATGAAGAATACACTTTTGTATGAAGTACTTCCCTATTAGATTGAACAGAAAAATGATTAGATATTGGACGCACCCACTGGAAACGTTGAAGACACTGCAGATAACCTTACTCGCTTAATAAACATAAGTACATAAGTTACTTGTTCTCTCCTGTTTTTTTCTAAAGTTTGTAAAGATAAGAAAGTTTGTAACCGAAGTTGGATGTCGTAATGAACAAATTCTTGAGTAGTGAATTAATTTATTTTATAATTTGAAAACAGTATATTAAATAATTTATTTATCCATCTTCCTTGAGTTGTTTTCTACAAAGTCTATTTCTCTCCCATTCCTGTTGTTATTCTAATTGCTTTCTGTCTTCCTTTCACTTCACTTCCCCCTTCTGTCCGTTATAATTCTACTCTCGATTCCTGATACGTACTATCTATATTTGTCCTTACACGTAGTACACACCACACTGTTACTTATTTCTTCCATTGTACAAAAAACATTTCAGGAAAAACAAAGTTTTATTCTAACACAGTCTCTCGAATGTCTAATAGAAGACATTGTTTTAAAAATTATAGTGGATTTTTCTCACCAAAAGCGAACATTTCTATTTTCTTAGTTCAGTAGTCAAACAATCAGTGTTCAATAAGAGATCTAAATAGTTCTATGAAAATTACCAGATGAAGTAGCCTTGAACTACAGAGATGCAGAAGTCTTGTCATGTCTAGTTCTATAGCTTGAAAATTGTGGCTGCTAAAAGACAAAACTAACGCTTATTTTGAAAGTTCAAGCTTGTTAATGTAGATTCTCATCTGACTACTGTACTAATGTAGGCATACCTATCTAGGACTCATATTGCAGGTATTTGGTGTTCAATAATTTCAAGGGTGAAACTTTCACTATGCAGTGGCAAGATCTCAATGGTAACAGCTTGACATATGTGATACTCCATGTTTATTATTTATGTTCATTTGGGGGTTGGTGCAAACACTATTTGGTGGCAAGACTATACATTCTGGTGCCAGGAATCTTTTGATATTACTGCCAATCCTAGGCCTAGATAAAGAAGGGGGGTTGAGATTGAGATTAGAAACCTCATCCTATGGAAAAAAAGCTTGCGAAAAACACGCTAACGATAAATAATAATCTAGACTCCGTCCTGATAGTTGAAGGATTTTCCTTTATAAGAATCATGACGCCTTATCGTGAAAGCCAAGAGTCAGATGGCCTTTCTAACAACCAGAACAGCACTTAATTTAGGCACCTGGCGGAAGATGATGCTGTTGTACTCTGGTGACGAAGAAACCAAATGTCCCGCAAACGCAAGGATTTGCACCGATATTGTCCAAAGAAGAACAAGAAACACTTCTAAAATATGCATCTCATCCAGGATCATCAAACCATAGTTCAACACAAAGGATGGAATTACAGTGAACGCTATCCAGTATTATACGCCCATCAATGATTGCAATGAGGCCGGTAAAGATTAATCTTATAAGAGACTGCGGTCGACCGCGGAGAAGTGCTCAGGAAAGAGCTTAGCCATCCTGATGGTAGACTAACGCCAAAGTTGGAATAGACAACACCGGACATGAAGATATTTTCGAAAGACGTGAACTGGGAGAAAGTAACGAAAATGGGGAGAGATTTCTAAACTTATGTTGATCCAACAAAATGGTTAAAGGCCGCACAATATACCTCCACAACCGCATACGAAAGGCTACATGGGTCTTACCGGATCACACTACACAGAACCAGATAGGTCATATTTGCATCACTAGGAAATTCACAAGGTCAATTTTAGACGTGAGAACCAGGAGGGGAGCTAACATAGCTTCAGATCACTACCTGATTGTGGTTACCAAGATGAAATTAAAACAAAAGAAGTGCTGAAAAACTGGACAGACAGCATTAAAATGGTTTAATACAGACTTCCTTCGACAAACTGAAAAACTCAACCAATTCAAGATACCCCTCAACAACAGGTTCCAAGCCTCACAGGATCTACTGAAAAACAAGAAATTACGATGAAGAACAACTAGAAATGGTTGAAAGAAGCTTCATCATAAGGAATGAATCTCTATGGGAACCTTGGTCAAGATTGAAGAAAGGAAGAACAAGAAGACTGCACCTAACAACGGTCGAACAAGAACAGAAAAAGTCAAAGCACAAGCAGACTACACGGAAGCGAACAAGGAAGTGGAGAAGAGGATTAAAGTCGACAAGCAGAAATACATGAGAAAACTAGCAACGAAAGTGGAAAAAGCTGCGAAAGGAGGAAATATCAAACAATTCAATTGCACAACGAAGAAACTGGAAAGGAAGTATAGCAAACCAGAGTGACCAGTCAAGGACAAAGAAGGCAAGCCAGCCACTGAAATTTAAAGACAGAGCAACAGACGAGTGGAACACTTGCAGCAATTTAGGTTGATTAGTTAAGAGTTGACCTCAAATAACTAAGTATATGTCAAAACAATAGAGCTCAAGTGTTAATTCACTTTCTCATTTCGTATAGGCATTATATTTCCTATTGTCCTATATTGAATATTGAAAAGCTTCGTTTGTTTGAAAAGGTGACCTCCCCCCTCCTCGAAATAAAGATTTATTCACTACTAGTCTGGTTTCTTCTATCATAAGAAAAAAGGCTACCTTCAGAGGCGAAACACCCCAAGTGACTTTTGAATAAACCAGCTTCATCGAATCCACCGAACATCGATGCACCACACACAGGTCTTCCTTTAGGTGTCACTCTACCAACGATCAGATAAATCAGGATGGCTATCAGACGAATCAAGAATGAGAAAGCAGCAGGACCTGACAATGCACCAGCCGAAACTCTGAAGTCAGACATAGAAGTAACTACAAACATGCTGCACATTATATTTGAGGAGGATTTGGGAGGAAGACAAGTGCCAATGGACTGGAAAGAAGGATACCTCACCAAGATACCAAAGAAGGGGGATCTGGATAAGTTTTGGAACTACAGAGGAATCACACTAACATTGGCACCAGGAACGTTTTGAATAGGGAGTTGCTGAACCGGATGAAAGACGCAGTAGACGCCTGACTTCAAGATCAACAGTCTGACGGAAAGCACGGAATACAATCAATAGCTTGGATTCAGGTTGACGGTTCGAACTTCTCAGATTACCTAACCCTTCCATACCGTGAACGGCAACAAATGCAGGATACAATGAATGTATAATCATCTTCTGAAGGAGATCTCAACATAAACGAGGGAAATATAAGATCCTCAAAACAACACAGGGAACATCAATTCAGCCATACGTGGCTGGGAAGCTTTAGGAGGGGTGGAAAGCTTCAAGTGCCTGTACAGCATGGTTGACAAACAAGGAGGATATGATGCAGAAATCAAGGCGCAAATATTCAAAGTAGGGAGAGCGTTCTTACGAATGAAAAAAATTTGGGACTTAAAACGAATGTTAACCAACATTAAAGTCGGAATTTTCAATACAAACGTAAAGGCAGTCCTAATATACCAAGCCGAAACTCGGTTAGCTGCCATGGCCATCATCAAGAAGTTACCTTAAATATATTCTTGGCATATGGAAGGTCAATAAGCTTAGTCGATATAAGCTGTGTATCTGTCGATTATCACTAGGCAGTCATCATGTGAAGAGACCTCGTGAAATATCATAATTACGAGACATGATCCGAGAACGAGATCATTAGGGATGGGACGAATCCACCAACAAATTTCACAGTTCTCGTAGTTTTAAAAATACACACTGATAAACAACCGAATCAAAGAATACAATGCACCCGTTGACTATGGTTAAAGAAATTATTCGAATAAATTCTAACGTAGTGACAGAACAGTTATAGAAACTGAGGTCTGCGAAATCACAAATGTATAACAAAGTCGTGTCGATAAACCAAAATGTTCTCTGCCAGTCACTCAGTAACCTGTTTCGAAACCTAAATGATTCCAAATAAAGACCAAAAGAGAGAAAAAGAGCCATAGCTTTTCTGATTTTCGAGGAAGGAGGTGGAATGATTACATGACACTTTAGACAAGTAGCGTTGTCTTTCATGATTTCAAAAGCGTTGACATATCACCTGATTGAGTGAATGAGAGAGCCTATTGAATGAACTCTTTCATGGGGCACTAAAAATAATTCTAAAGACAAATCTAGTGTCACAAATACAATTAACACAAGAAGCTTGGATAGTTTCTGGAAATCATAAGAAGCTTGAGTATACAGTATTCATAAATTCTGTAACATATTTGGTATCGTGTCACAAATCTTTCTGTGAGGATTTGAAGTATTTGAATTACAGTATAAACTAGTAATACCAGCAATAACGCCATTTAATCAGGAAGTATTAGATGGGCACGAACGAATGTACTGTATTTGGAATTCAAAATCAAAACAGTCATTAATACAAAGAAATCATTGATTCATATAAACACCACACTTTCTTGTAGCGGAAATATCATAAATACGACCTTTTACTAATCTGGATCTCCTAACTACAGGAAACCTTAAGATCAGCCACAAACATTAGGGACATCCAGATAAATTAATTGCTAAATATTATTTCGGTTAAAAACATTTCAATATGCCCTTGATATTTTCAAGACATACATTTTAGTCTTTATGATTATTATTATTATCCCTCCTTTTCCATCTGGAACAAATCAGGCTCGTAATTGTAAAAGGTTTTTGTCCAGATCGTGGAACATAACAATTGGAGTGCGAGAATCTAATTTCAAACAAAACCTTCAACACTCAGTATGAAATATTAGGTAACACCATTCCTACGAAAAATATGGAAGTAAACAACTACTTCAGTTATAATGGCTTAACATTACCAAGATGTTTTGGACCAACTATTGCCCACCTATTTCAAGTTTTCAATATGCAATCATACATCTTCAAACTTACAAACAAATTGCACACAGCAAAATAATCGGATTCGTCATTTTCAAAATATTTTTCCAGACTGTTGGGGAATAAGAGGAGGGCATATAACACGCTAAAACACTGGATATGACTGAATCTGCATAAAGAGGTATCGGTAATCCATTGTAATTAATCATGGCAGCCAGTGAGAACTTTTCTTACAGTCCTCTCATAATCACATGCTACTATTAAGATGTTATGCATTATAACGAGTAAAAAGGATGTTAGACAAATGTCTCAAATTCCACATTTTAGTCTACTGAGTGACGTGATTAGTGATAGCGTTGCCATCAGTACTTACACTATAAATACAACGACAGTTGGCAGGGATCGTAATTTAGGGTTTAACGATAAGTTTAAAATTCCCACTTCCAGCAACATGATTACAAGAAAGCTCTCGACGACAGCGAAGAACCTCAGAGTAATGTGCACAATATGGGTCTCTCAGTTCAAACACGTCAACTGAGTCTTATACTAAGCAATCAGGATCACACTTTCACCTAGACTCCTATTCCCAGTAAAGCCACTAATCATAGAAGAAACAAGAGTAAAAGAGATTACAAACTGCTCAAGGTGCTGATTACCGCTAGGGATACTGATAATTGAGACTCATGTCAACATTTGATTGATTTCTGCTATCTCTGGGTCCTCAGTCACTGTGATACTACAGTTCTTTGTGAGTACTACGAGTGCATGTTAGGTACCACAGTTCCAATAATTGGAAACATAACAAGCAAAAGACTTGCCACGATTCTTTCCTATAAAACTGGTAAACCTGAATTCCAAAACGATTTGTTTTAAAACTTGTAGTGGATCACCAGGTAATGAGAAAGACCATCTAGCGCTTAGATAGCAACCTGGGACTAAAGGGTATATGGAGAGAGGTCGTAAGCATGTGTCTTCACTTGAATGTGAAGATCATAGTCCTAACCGATACTTAACTATCTCATAACATCAAGAACGACGAAATGAGCTTTTAAGGGATAACCATTCCTCGCTTCGACCGGCTGTGCCTAATGAGCTTTTCGTAATTTAACTACTGTCATCAATATCACATATCAGTAATTATCGTCTGTCTCTCTCAATATTGCCTTGTTGCATCCCGAATAGAATTGCGAATGGTAACTTTTGAGGACTATTTATTGGCCAATGTAATATGTATATTCCCTATTGTAACTGGCCTAATCATATTCGTTTCCTCTTATCATTAGCTTTATTTTGACCTTTGAACTATTATTATTGATTACTTTCCCCCTATTCGCAGCCAACATGGCGAATTATTGTACAAATATTATTTTTTATTTTATGGTACGATGAGGTCTGTTTGGTTGGTATATAAACACAGTATGTTTGTGAATAATGATTCATATTGTTGAGGCTGTTATTTGTGTTCTGGACTTAACTGGCTGGGCTAGGCAGATCTCAGGACCGGTTAGCGCTCCAGACTGCTCGTACGGTTTCGTGTGCCACTGTTCCAGTCGATAATTCGCTGCTCCCTGATTGGCGGTCTTATCGCGTCATACATTAACTGGGCATCCACTCGGCCACAAGATATAACATGCCTCCGTTCCCCCTTTTATTCTTGCACTTCAATATCTTCCCACTACCTGGATTACTAATTAATCAGCTTATTTATTTAGTTATTTCCTAAAACAATTGTCCTCCCTTATCATCCGAAATTTCGCTTTGTTATTTTTCGCAAGGCAACCAACTAACCTCCCGCCTGGTAATGTGATAGCTGCCAGTATCCGGAAATCCTACTGACTTGAGACAAACGCGGTCACTGAAACTACAAGATATACGAATACATAAACAACTACCAAACTGACCAGAATTAGTGCATTCGAATAGCTAGACTCTAGCTTATTAGACACTACCGACTACCCGAACCGTACCGAAACAACAAGAAGTGAGCGCAGAGAGTTAAATTGTTTATACTAGCTGGTGATAAACGTATTGGATATTGGAATTTACTTCTAAGAGCGATTGAATAAGGCGGGGTCTTTCAAAGGTGACGGTGCTAAACCGTACTGATTAGTCTCAAACATGCTTCACTTAGATCCTGCTCTTTTTGAAGATGTTCCACCTTCCTCTGACGCTTCGACAGAATACGAAACAGTCGATGATGAAGTGCAAATTGTTAGTCGCATTATAGTATATGACCAATATTCCTTTAGGACTTGGGGAATTATATCTCGAACTACCAGGGATACATATACTACCAGCGCCTCTTTTTTATTGCTCAGCGGTGCCCTTCTCTGCGTGTTATAGCACTGCGCCTTGCACATGATTACATCAAAAAGTCTACATTGGACAGCTCCGCATACAATAAAATCTTTTTAATGTTGGCTGAGCAGGTAGGTGGTTTAACATTTCTTTTTAATATTTGTCCTTTTGAGTGCAAATATGCTAAGATAGGCGCTTTCTGACGCTAAAAGTGTCACTAAGCTGTGACTAAGCGTTAATATTCTAGTCATTTATTTTTGGCTAATTTAGTAGCTTAACTGGTCGTCAAAGCATAGTTTGTCGCTCATCAATTTCTTTCATTAATCAGCAGACCAATATGATTTTTTCAGGACAATAATCTGTCAGCAGTCCGTGTATATAGTTTTCATTATTTAAATACAGGGTTTTTGGTCGCATATATGTCCTAACTGTCGCTTCAGGATTAAACTGAGTCAACTCCTAAATTAAAGTAGTTTGGCATGTTGATCACTTCACTTGGAAGTTTCATCGGCCATGGTGGATTGGTCTCTGACAAAATCTGTGTACAAATTCAGAAATCCCGTCTGAGTTTTGTTAACATGTGTCACTTGTAGCCTGGACAGGAAGTCCTTTTTGCCAACTTAAGGACTAGTTTGCTGTTCAGCAGTTCTCTTCATTCTACTCTATGGCTCTGAAACGTATTCTTTAAAATTATGGAATATCCGTAAGTTGCTAGTTTTCGATCATAGGTGTCTTTGAAATATGGTTTGTGTATTCATGGACTAACTAGCTAGCAATTCTGAGGTTAGACGTGGAGTACTACGTAATTATGGCAAACTTGAGGTAGTGAATGTTCTACTAAGATTATTAAAACATGTATTATATATGCTTGTCAATCAACTTACTGGTGTAAAATTAGGTTGAGATGAAGCTAAGGGCTGAGAAACGAAGATATGGCTCCAGTTCATGAAGACAGGCCATTGGATTAAGCTATTTAAGTAGGTCCAGACTACTTGATTGACGTCCGCATGAATATCATAACCACTGGTTAGAGACTTTGAACGGCATGGTTAAAAATCGTTTTCAATTATTCAAGTGTATTCACTCCTTGTCTTCCCCAAAACTAAGTTTTTAAATTGTGAATAAATGTTTTTATTTCATCAATTTATGTTTCTATGAATCGTATCTTCAATGCCTAATATTTTCTATTACCACTAATGCTGTGACTACCTTGAGTACTCTGAAGTTTTCCCCGATAATTTCATCGCACTTTGCTAGTGGGGTGTGGCAATCTAAACTGGTGTACCCACATACCAAGTTCTACGTTGCTGCGTATAACTGACTAACTGGTACTGTATTTTGTTTACGTGCTAGTTTTATCGCCATCTTGTTTGTGTTCGACCTTAATATTTTCCTTCGCAATTTATACAGCTATATAAGCTTTCCGCTAAGCAAGTAATGATACAGAAAAAACAGCTTCACGTGCAATAATGTTTTCTCAATAGTATTTTCGGGACAACAAAGTTAAAGATTCACTATGAATTCGCAATTGCACATATTTGGTTTTAATCAGTACTGATAAATACCGTAGCATGCTCTTAGTAGTGTCACGTCATAAAAATAAACTAACTACAGATTGTTCAACAGCCGAAGACAATAGTGAATTTTAGTGAGTGATAAGAATTGAGGTATAATCAGTCCAATAGTTCCCCGCTAACTCAGTTCTGCAAATAATAAGTATGAAAAATTAGAGTTTTTTTGGGTCTTTTTATTAACTTTAATAGTTCCCTGTTATGTTAAGCTACTAAAAATTTATACTGTGCAAAGAGAACATCTTCAATAGACCTATACGGCTTCCAGTTACTAATTTTAAAATCATCGGTAAGAGACGTAATTACCTCTACCAAGCTGAGTCGAGTATCGATACTGATTTTGTAAAACGACAAACTACTGAAACTAAGCGCCAATAAAAATCCAGAAAATCAAACTGTTGACACGAGTTGCTCGCTAGTATTTTTCGCCAGGTTTGTTTCTAAGTGACATTTTCCTCCTATCAAAAATCTTATGCTTTAAAGAAGAATAAATTCCTTGCATTTTCAGCAAACAAATAAGCTTACGTTTAACAAATGATATGTGGCTGTTAGTGAGACTTAGGATGCAGGTTTCCTCTCATTTGAGACTCATCAGCTGGATTCGCCAGAATTAATAAAGTACTATTAAAATCAAAACACAGGTATCTTATGGTAAACTCATCTGATTACTGAAAAACAAATTTTCCTGCAAGTCAGCTATAAAACTAGCGGCCCTTTGGCGCAATGGATAACGCGCCTGACTACGGAACAGGAAATTCCAGGTTTGAATCCTGGCAGGCTCGGATGCAAGCCCACAAATGCCCTGGTACGACCGACAGTGGAGAGAGTCAGCTCTCCCTCTCGAAATGCTCTCATATAGCCACATGCATACAACCACTGCCAGGGAAGTCCTATTCACTTCCTTCTCGCGGCTGGGATGTTATTTATTTAAACACAAATATCGGTAAGAGGGGGCACCAGGTATATATGCGCCACACAAATCTCATTTGATTTGTGTGAGGACTGTGATACTGCCCGAAGCAGGTGGTTTTCTTGGGGGGGCCACACCCCGAGCCTTTGACCTAAAGGTCTGATCCACAAGGCAGTGGAGCATCATAAGGAAATGCAGTCCCATGGTAGCCGGTGACCAATGATTGGTTCATATGTCATTGGTTTAGAATCAGGGTTTTCCAACTCCCCTAGGTGAACTTTCCATGTCCACCAACCCGGTTAAAGCACCGGACATTCGCTTTTCGTCCTCTCACTTTCGTAAACAACACCCCCTCCACGAGAAGGCAGTGAGTAGGACTTCCCTGGCAGAGGCTATATACGTGTGGCCGAGTGAGAGCATTTAGGGAGGGAGAGCGGACTCTCCCCACTCTCGACCGTAACAGGGCATTTGGGGGCTTCCATTTGTAATGGTAGTGATGATTTTCATTGCCCAGAACCTCCTAACATGTTGAAGTGATTGCCTCTTTTATCCTTTTCCAGTTGCCCTCTATAGTAGTTCCCTCTCCATCAAGTTGCTCATGAAAGGCGTGGAGCTTGTTGTTGAGGGTTATCTTGAATTTGCTAAGTTTGTCAGTATCCCGAAGAAAAGCCCTACTAAACTTTTGTGATGTTCACCCCATCGTCCAGTGCTTCTCAAGTTTTAATTTCATCTTGGCAACCAGCAAGTGATGATCTGATGCTATATCAGATCCTCTTCTGGTTCTCACATCCTTCATCGTCCTCCTGAACTTTTTGTTGATGCATATATGGTTCTGCATAGTGTGATCTGGTGAAGTTCATGTTGTTTTGTGAATGCGTTTATGTGGGAATATAGTGCTGCCTATTACCAGTTTAATAAAGGCAAATAGGTTTGCGAATCTCTCACCATTTTCGTTTCTTTCTCCCCGTCCATGACGTCTTCGTATCCAATGTTGTCCATTCCAACCTTGGCATTTAAATCTTCCATCAGAATGGTTAGGTCCTTTGTTGGGCACTTCTCGAGGATTGACTGCAGCCTATCATAGAATTGATTTTTAATGTCCTCATTGTAGTCGTTGGTAGGCGCATAGCATTGGATGACGTTCATTGTAATGCCCTCTTTTTTTGTTTTGAAGGAGGCTTTGATGATCCTTGGTCCATGAGATTCCCATCCTATAAGTGCATTTTGTGCTTGTTTGGATAGCATCAATGCAACTCCTTGTGTATGTGAAGCACTCTCTTCTTCATGACCGGAGTACAACAGAATCTCCCCTGAAGATAGTCGTTGTTGTCCAACCTGCGTCCAATGTAATTCACTGATCTCAAGCACCTCCAGGTTGTATTTCCTCATTTCTGTAGCAATTTGGAAAACTCTCTCACATCGTCCGGACGTTCCACGTACCTATAAAAATTGTTGCTCTGGTTGTTAGAAGGGACATTGGCCTCGTGACTTCCAAAAAATCTCGGCTTTCATCATGAGGCGTCATAATTCTTTCTTCAACTCCCAGGGCAGAGTTTAAATGGTTTGAATTATTTTTTCTGGGTAGCGTTTTTCAGCGAGTTAGTTTTCTATGGGATGGGGTCGCTAACCCCATGCCCAACCCTACTCCTTTATTTGGGCTTCGGCCCGTCAGTAGCCTCCGGAGGGGCTACAGGCGAAGTTATATTCGTATTTGCCAAAATATTTTTGCTGTATTAGTTGACTGAACTAACTGTTTTTTTCCTTAGACAAACTTTTCCGTAGCTGACTCATCAGCATCCAGTGAGACTTCTAGGCAACAACAGCAGTCGGCATTTTCAATGCGCCTTATCACAAACAATCATCTTTCAGATGGCTTGTCTTTATCTAGCTCAAGTGAATTAGGAGTGCTGGGTTCTTCTCTTACGGAAGCTTCCAGAAACATTTTAACTGATGTCATGTCCGGAAAAGTAAGTTATTGATGCATAGGTATCGTTTAAAATAGTTTATTTCATTACGATTTTATTGTACTTTAAATATAGTATGCCAAGATTCATAGCAATACATGTCTTTAGTATTGCAGTTGAGTTTCAAGAAACTTCCTCGACAAATAGTCCTCTTAACAAAAATATATACTGCTTTATTCATATAATTTAGGAAACCTGTGTGTCGATATGATTAATCATCATAGGTGGTATTATTTTATGTAGACAGTGGATTTTGGATGATACATAAGTAGACTATAACTTATTGTAATAACACAAACAGCGTTGTTTTTCGTCTATTCTCTTTGGAAGTACAACCACTGAAGCTATTTAAGAGAGGCATAGTTTATGTATTTTGAACTTTGTTAAATATAATGTCTTACGATCATTCTGGTGTATGTGACGAAATCAAAACGTTTATTTAAGAGCCTATATTTCTGCATTATACGTTGTTACTTAAGAACTTACATCTCTTCATTACCCGTACAGTATGTTCTAATGAAACTAAAAGTAGCTAGATACGGTCCAACCAAGTATTTATCAAGTATAGGGTCATCTTAACAAATCACTGTCTAATTATTGAAATTATTTTTAGCTCCAAGTACATGCTTTTTAAAAATGTATATACATAATTACAGAACGAAGCCAATTTGGTTTACGACGCGAAATGGGAGGAGTCTACAAGGCGGAAAGGTGTTATGCTTTTGGAGCAGTTAGATACAGAATTGAAAAATCACAAGGCGAATTCAATCAAAGAAAGCATACGGTATTTTAAAAGTGATAGTTTCATTTTTGTTATTAGAAACAATTTTTTTCAAATCAGCTAGTGAGGTTGTGAGTCTTTACCGATCGAATTGGTTGGGATATCTATTACTCATTTATGCACTACTACCTCCTACCTTAACTCTTTTTTCGGGGGTGATATAAGAGTATATCGGAAAAAAAGCTATGAGCAGCCAGGCCAAGATGCAGTATCCATGCATGAGGACGTTGACTACTGAACTCAACCATGTAGGTAGTTGAAGACTTCTTGGTTGGGTTGCGCGCGATCATAGTGGTCAACAGTTAAAAACGTTGAGTGGCATGGCTCAGAATTAGTCACAATTATTCAGATTCATCCACCCTTTATCTCCCATTTGATTTTGAATTTTAAAACTGTCGTATACTATCTGTTTTCCACGAATTCATTCTTCTCAAATCATATTGTCTATGTTTATTGTTTTCTAGTACCATTGTTATTATCTCTACTCTGGCATTTGTCTTAATAGTTCCATCTTGTTGTACTGATGTGGTCTGGCAACTTGGACAGATGTATTTGTGTGCCTTATGTTCTGCATTTTTTATGATTCACTGACTGTTTTAGTATATTTTCATGTCTTTCCATTTGATGTCATGATTTTTTTGTTTTAACTTTCCTTACGAAAACAGTCGGGGTTCTGATGATCTTGGTGATTTGTATTTACAATTAGGACAATTGAGCAATGCGAATAAATGTTTTGCTCGTTCCCGAGATTATTGTACATCTCAACAACAAGAACTGACCATGTGTTTAAATGTTATTAAGGTAAATCAATGATTTTTGCTGCTGTATAGATATATTTGTTTATGTACGTGTTGTATTCATAATTGAACTTCAGATAAATTAAAAGAACCTAAAATTCCCTTTGTAATTTTGTTGGTTTTAATGGAGTATATATGTAGTGAAGACCACTAGAACCGTTGCTCAGTAGTTTGGTAATGGATCATTAGCTATCGAACTTGACGGTCTTTTTACATCGTCTGCCTTTAATTGATAAATTTTTGCTTCATATTATGTAGTTTTATATTGTTATTGAGCTAAAGTCATTTTTAATGTTTAAAAGCTATGTTGCTTCTATGAATGGAGAGATTTTGATATACTGTACTTCAAAATTTGGGTGTAATCGTTTATACTAACCATGTACTTCGTACAAACCATCGGAAAATCATTTGACTAAGTTCAGAATATTCAATATCTTTAATGGACTAGTGGCTAAATCACTTCCATGCTGTTTTGTGATGGGATAAATACTGTCCGTAGTTTTAAGAATAAATTTCTACCGCATAATAACTCGATACGCTTTCTTTCTCGTGCTCTACATTTGTACAGTCAGTCACAACATGGAACCTCGTATGTATGTAATCATTTCAAGTTGCCCATATCCCATCAGCATAGACAAATGAAATTGTCAGATCAAATCCCAGAATAGTAGAGGTAGTTACAGTATGAGTAGTGATGGAAAGAATTATGGATCAAAGATATAATTCAAAATGATACAAATGAGTAAGTTAGGAGCACAAAAGGTTATGAGGAATTCAGAAGCCTAGAATTTTGTGGAAAACGAATAATGGATGTACCTGCTCTATTGCAAACGATTTTCAACCATGTCATTCATAGTCTGTAACCAGTGGTCACGATAATCACGCGAACACCAATCAGATAGTTTACACTTATTAACATGGCTCATTCGAATTATCAATGACTTCATGGACTAATACCATGTTTTAGTTCTGTTGCCCCTGTCTTTCTTCCAACGTACTCGTAAACCAGACACATTCGCTCGTTGATGTAGATAGTGGTTAAGCATGCATAACACATGTCCCAACCACCTCAGTTGATGAAGATTGACTACCGCCTCACCAGACCATTTGTCCTCCTTATCTAGTTCCCTAATTCTAACTCAGTCATTGCTTACTTGGCGGTCCTAAAATACGTGAGCAATGCTTCGAAAACGTATGTGGTCGAATATTAGTAACCTACGAATATCAAATGAGATTTGTGCAGCGCATATGTATCTGGTACTTCCTTTTCTTAATGTCCATGTTTCACACCCATAAAGTAGGATGGAGCGAACTACTTAGCAGTAGGCTTATCTTTAGGTCGGCAAACATATCTTTCCTACATCAGAAGTGATGCGAGTTGGCGAAAACCAATCGAGCCCTCTGAATCCATGTCTTGATTTCGTCAGACACCAGACCATCTATATTTGTACACTACTACTCTGTTTGCTCTGGTGCATTTTGTTTATTGTTCCGATCGTTGTATTAACATTCCAAGTATTTGCATCTTGCTCACCATAATCTAAATACGTTACACATATGTTTGTACGGCTATGCTGTGTTATAATTATTCTCTTCTCATCATGTTCTCAACAAGTAAGTCGATTGAGTGGTGAAGGATAATAATTGAAGTGGTTAGGGAATGTATGGCACGTTCCAAGTCATCGCCTTGTTCACCATATCAGGTTAGTTAAATCACGGGTAGATTCGAGAGTCGTGAAAGGTGAACAAATTGCTTGTGGTTTTAATTTTACTTTTCTTTTGGTCATTTCTGTAGTTATTATTTAGGTTTAGATTTTTTATACAGTACAGTGATATACTTACAAAACACTTTGTATTTCTGTAGATATACTTTTATCATTCATAACTTAAAACTGTCTTGCTGTAATGATTTTGTGAGTCTTTCACAATTCCAGTAAATGAAGCTTGTTGAATCGATATGAAATTGGTCATAATGTTGACCAAGTTGTTTCTACGGACTAAGTGTCGTTTGGAATAGGAAAGAAAGGTGTAGGCAATTCGAAACAAACACTATGTTCTGAATTCTTTTCTAAGAAAATATGCGCAATCAGTTAGTGAATAGTTAGTGACCTGTTGTTTATATATGCTTGTCACTGAACGAAGTAAAAACCGTATATCACTGCATTCTCAGAGAACTATAATATCATATATGTTTACCTTCTAAAAACAGTGAAAATTCATTCATTTTTCATCAGTGTTTGTTGCAAACTAGATCTGAATAAATATATTTCAATCTGATTTTCAAAATATTAGGTGGCTATATTTCAACGTGCTTGGTCTCATGTTAGTGCACATGTTACTCGAGCCAGCAGTTTATCTGAACTACGTGATACTGCCCCATTATTAGGTGCTAATGCAGCCGAGTTAAATGCTCAACAACGAAGTCGTGCTGAAGCCCTAGCTCGTTTGGGTACAACACGTACAACAACTGCCGGCATATCCGGTGAATCTTCCACACGTGGCTCTTCTAGTTTAATAGACCCTTCAAGCCGCATTTCATCTCGACACCCTGGTGATAGTATTGGAGGTCATATCCCTACATCAGGTGGTCAAAGCTATCGTGATGCCTTAGCTCAAGCCCGAACTCAGTTAGCTATAGCTGCTGGACTAGTTGAATTAGCTTCTCGTAACTACAGAGGTGCTGCAATGAATTTCCTTCAAGTAAGCTATTTCTGTTTTCATTTTAATGGTTTACTCCTGTGTGATATAATTGTTAGGTTATTATTAGCTGGAAAATACTGCGTTGACACTACTATATTAAGCCTAATCATATTACTCATGATCTAATGGCTTTGTTTTTTAGTTGATTCTCTTCAAAGCTTTGTCATGTTTATATGTATACTTGCATTCCCACTGTGACTGTATCTTGTTGGGTAAATAGAGGCTTTCCGATTTAGTTGAGATACAATACCAAGAATTGGACTTGTCCTTGCAGGTTATTGTATCGTTGCTTGTTTATTTCTCCGGGTTATTAAAAAGATAACTAATTCTGATACTGCTATCTTGTTATGCAACTAGTTATCCTATCCTTTACTATTAGCTGCTAGACTTTAGCATAATAAAGTTTTATAACAGATTGTTCAGACTATTGATGCTAGTCAATAAACACTAAATCAACAGACTCACATTCAACCAACAATCAAGAACCAGATGTAGGCCGAAATGCTAATTTATAAATACACAATACTAAGCTGTTAATAAGTAAAACATGCAGTAATATATTATACTCTGCATTATATACTGTAGCCGGAAATGCGTTTTTAGTTGGTGACAAATTACGACTTGCCTTCACCAGAAATGTTATACAGTTTACTCAGAAAAAAAGGGAATCTTTAACTAGTCGTTGATAACGAACAGATAAATAGATTAAATATTATTTTCCTTCAGACAGTGGTCTTTTTATCCCATTTGCCACATCTTACATAGGCCATAAAAATGAAAGCAAATGAAATAAGAAAAGAATATATACATAGAACTTCAAGGTATTTCAAAGCTACATATATATACCATATTATTATATTTGATTTCAGTTGTAAACTAATGTAGACCGTACAAACTACAATAGCCAGTTTTGTATCCTCATAAAATATTAAGAGTCTATTTCCTTTTGATGACCACTGAGTCCTTGTTCATCATTATTTCAAGATTCCTCAAGTTTGTAACCTCATAATTATAAAAAGTTGTCGTTATGTTCTTAACTATTCGAATATCGTGAAATACGATTGCCAATTAAGATACGCTGACTTTTACGGCCAAACTAATAACACATACACCAGTACGAGTTAATATTTTTTTACTTAAATATGACTCCGGATTTATTGTAATGTAACTCTGTGAAGTAGGATTTAGATTCATGGTCAATTAGTTGTAAATGAAATGGTGAACACCATGCATTGTTATATAATTCTATTATGTATAGGACTAGTTGTTACTCTTTCTTCTTTTCTAACTATATTTCATAAAGAAGATACCTGAATCATTTAGTAAATATGTTTATACATTAAATTGCATATTCGATATTTTGCCGAAGCCTCTATTATATTAATCGTTCAATTGTTGTCTATTCTAACTGCTTAAAAAGCATTCGACTTTCAACGGTTAAGTTGATTGTTCGAATCTCACTTGTTACCTACTTCGAAGTTGATGAGTTTGAGTAATATCATTAAATCTGTCTCATCCACACAGATATGTATGGCTCCCGACCGAGTAGTACTTGAAAAAAGTAATAATAATAATAATACTTCTATCATAGTTCTCCTTTATTTTTGTCCGAAATATCGATTTCTGAAACCTCTCTGACTGTTTTACTTGTTCATAAACATATTATAGCTCTTCTTCATCATTTCAGGTTAATCACGATCATTGTGAATCACCTACAAGTCGAATTGTAACTATATCAGATTTAGCATTTTTCATTACATTATGCAGTTTAGCTACATTTGAACGTACTGAATTAGCAACATTAGTTCTTGGGAATGCATCGTTGAGGTTACTTTTGGAAGCAGAACCTGCTTGTCGTGACATATTACAGTCGTTCCATCAAGCAGATTACGCGTCTTGTTTGGGGCGATTAAATAAACTACGAAATGTTCTACGGTTAGATATATTTTTGTCTGATCATGTATCTGCATTATTCCGAGAGATTCGATCACGTGCACTTTGTCAGGTTAGTGATTATTGTATTTGAATAACCTACGTTCGAATTTTATTCATAGATGTAATGAGAGTAACTATTGTGTTACAGTGAATGATTTTTAAAATTATGACTCATAATCGGAGCCTCACATTATTTAATTCGTTATTATGTGTTGCGACCCACTATAATAGAAGTATAAAAAATACCAATCGTTGATATTAGTGCTCAAGGGTTCAATAATCAAACTGCTCGTTATGGAGTATAATAAAAGAAGATTCTATGTTCAGATGGGTCATTTTTTTCTATTTCTAACTTTCTTAGAGCAGAACTAGATGTGTTCGCTCAGTAATACATGAAATATCCAGTACGTCAAAAACAAATTAATACGTTACCATTTTTTATTTGAGTTTTGACTGATTTGAACTGATGATGATTATATAATCTGTAGAAGACAGAATATTAAACGTTCACTCCCTATCAAGTACTTCATTTACTCAATACTGTAATCAACTCTTTGCACAATATCGTTTAAAAAATTCCTTCCCTGTTGATTACATATTTTTAAATATTCGAAAGTATCCATCAAAACAGGTTTTTTAGCAGTAATTATCTACCATTCACCGGTGGTGAAGTTTTCAACTACTTCATTTGAACCTAGGAATGCTTTTATCATTACATGAACTATACTATGCTTGCTTACTTACTTACTTATGCCTGTTACTCCTCGTCGAGGAGCATAGGCCGCTCACCAGCATTCTCCATCCAACTCTGTCCTGAGCCTTCCTTTCCAGTTGCTATTCAGCCTTTTCATATCGGCTTCTGTTTCCCGGCGTAGTGTGTTCTTTGGCCTTCCTCTTTTCTGCTTCCCTTCCGGATTCCAAGTTAGGGATTGAGTCGTGATGCACATTGGTGATTTCCTTAGTGTATGTCCGATCCACTTCCAACGTCTTTTCCTAATTTCCTCTTCAGCTGGAAGCTGGTTTGTCCTCTCCCACAAAACGCTGTTGCTGATAGTATCCGGCCAATGAATGTTGAGTATTTTGCGTAAACAACTGTTTATAAATACTTGTACCTTCCTGATGATGGCCGTAGTAGTTCTCCACGTTTCAGCTCCATACAGTAGGACTGTCTTGATGTTCGTATTAAAGATTCTGACCTTGAAATTGGTTGAGAGTTGTTTTGAGTTCCATATGTTCTTCAATTGTAGAAATGCTGCCCTTGCTTTGCCAATCCTCGCCTTTACATCTGCATCCGATCCTCCTTGTTTATCAACGATGCACCCCAGGTACGTGAATGTTTCCACCTCTTCCAGAGTTTCGCCATTAAGTTTGATTGGGTTGGTGTTCTCCGTGTTGCATTTGAGCATCTTGCTTTTTCCTTTGTGAATGTGGAGGCCTATCGATGCGGAGGCTGCTGCTACATTTGCTGTCTTCATCTGCATTTGGTCGTGTGTATGAGAGAGGAGGGCTAGGTCATCTGCGAAGTCCAAATCATCTAATTGATTCTGAGAAGTCCATTGTATTCCGTATTTCCCTTCGGATGTCGAATTCTTCATAATCCAGTCAATCACTAGAAGGAAGAGGAATGGGGAGAGTAGACAGCCTTGTCTGACTCCGGTCCTTACTGGAAATGCATCTGTCAGCTGTCCTCCATGCACCACTTTGCACTGTAATCCATCGTATGAGTTTTGGATAATGTTGACGATCTTCTGAGGAACTCCATAGTGTCGAAGAAGTTTCCATAATGTTCTCCTATCCACGCTGTCAAACGCCTTCTCATAGTCAATGAAGTTGACGTATAGTGATGAGTTCCACTCAACTGATTGTTCAACGATGATCCGTAGTGTCGCAATCTGGTCTGTGCACGACCGATCCTTACGGAATCCAGCCTGTTGATCCCTAAGTTCGGCGTCTACTGCGTCTTTCATCCGATTCAGCAGCACTCTGTTGAAAACTTTTCCTGGTACTGATAACAAACTGATGCCTCTGTAGTTCTCACATTGGCTCAAATCTCCTTTATTTGGTATCTTGATGAGATATCCTTCATTCCAGTCCATTGGCACTTGTTCCTCTTCCCAAATCTTCTTGAATAGAAGGTGAAGCATGTTTGCAGTTATTTCAATGTCTGACTTCAGTGCTTCTGCTGGTATATTGTCAGGTCCTGTCGCCTTCCCACTTTTGAATTGTCTGATGGCCATCTTGACTTCTTTGATCGTTGGTGGAGTGACATCTATTGGAAGGTCAGTGTGGGCTGCTTCGATGTTCGGTGGATTCAATGGGGCTGGTCTATTCAGCAGTTCCTCGAAGTATTCTGCCCATCTTTTCCTCTGTTCTTGAATCTCAGTGATTGTCTTTCCTTCTTTGTCTTTGACTGGTCTCTCTGGTTTGCTATATCTCCCTGCCAATTTCTTCGTTGTATCATATAGTTGTTTCATATTCCCTTCTCTTGCAGCTTTTTCCGCCGCCGTTGATAGTTATCCCATGTATTTCTGCTTGTCGGCTTTAATGCTTTTCTTCACTTCCCTGTTTGCTTCTGCGTAGTCTGCTTGTGCTTTGACTTTCTCTGCTCGTGTTCGGCTGTTGTTAATTGCTAGTTTCTTGTTCTTCCTTTCTTGAATTTTGTCTACGCTTCCCATAGAGATCCATTCCTTGTGATGATGCTTCTTAGGACCAAGAACCTCCTGACACGTTGAAGTTAGTGCTTCTTTTATCCCTTTCCAGTTGTCCTCTGTTATGACTTGACCTAGCCGTCGCCAATTTGTTATGTTTTTGACCTAGGCGGTAGCCAATTGTTATGACTTGATCAAGGTCGTCGCTGATTCGTTATGACTTTACTAATTTAACAAGGACGTAATTCGCGTAAATTATCCACCAATAGAATACGCTTTCTACGACCTTCACACTGTGACAATGACGTTCGATTAATATGAGTAATCTAGCGTCCTTATTGGTCTTTATCCGCCTAACCCGTCCACTTGAGTCCAAAACACCAATAGCAGCTGCTGTAATGCGAATCGTTTATTTCAAACATACTTTATCTATATACCAGACAGGCAGACCACACCACACCATAAAATAGAAAATAATATTCGTACGAAACCAGGCCAAATGAGGCTGTAAGCGTGGGAGACAATAATCAATAAAACTGAGCATAAAATAGGGACAGAAAATCATATAGTAATAATCAATAGGTCAAAATAAAGCTTAGATAATCTAGTTACCGAATAGTTATACAATAAGAATGATAGTCCATTAGTAGGTCCTGCAAGTTACCCGTACTTATGTCTTCGCTACTACATAACACCTCCAAAGTAGTTTCTTGTTCTTTCAGTAGATCCTGTAGAGCTTGGAACCTGTTGTTGAGAGTTATCTTGAATTCATGGAGCTTGTCAGTATCTCGAAGGAAGGCTGTATTGAACCTTTGTAGTGCTGTTTGTCCAGTTGTCCAGTGTTTCTTTAGCTTCAGTCTCATCTTGACCACAACCAGGTGGTGATCTTAAGCTATGTCAGCTCCTCTCCGTGTTCTCACATCTTCCATTGATCTTCGGAATTTTTGTTGATACAGATGTGATCTATCTGGTTTACTGTGGTGTGGTCCGGAGAGATCCATGTAGCTTTGTGTATTCGCTTGTGTGGGAATATTGTGCCGCCTATAACCAATTTGTTGAATGCACATAGGTTTGCAAGTCTCTCCCCATTTTCATTTCTCTCTCCTAATCCATGCCGTCCAATTACATCTTCATATCCTGTGTTGTCCACTCCAACTTTAGCATTTAGATCTCCCATCAGGATGGTGAGGTCCTTTCGTGAGCACTTCTCTATAATTGATTGCAGCCTTTCATAGAACTGATCTTTATCATCGTCGTTGCTATCATTGGTGGGTGCATAACATTGGATAACGTTCATTGTGATCCCTTGCTTCTTTGTTCTGAATGATGCTTTGATTATCCTGGGTCCATGAGATTCCCATCCCACAAGTGCATTTCGTGCTTCTTTGGACAGCATTAGAGCAACTCCTTGAATGTGTGGAGCATTTTCCCGTTCGTGACCGGAATACAGCAGCATCTCTCCTGTACCTAGCCTTTGTTGTCCAGTTTGTGTCCAATGGGTTTCGCTGCCAAGTTGTATCTTCTCATTTCCATTGCTATTTGGCTGGTCTTTCCTGTCTCTCACATTGTCCGGACGTTCCATGTACCTATAAAGAGTGTTGCTCTGGTTTTTAGAAGGTGCATCGGTCTCGTGACTTCCGAAGAATTTTGGCTTTCATCATGAGACGTGATAATTATTCCTTCAACTCCCAGGTCAGAGTTTGAATGGTTTTGAATTATTTTTTCTGGTTAGCGTTTTTTAGCGAGTTAGCTTTTCTATGGGATGGGGTCGCTAACCCCATGCCCAACCCTCCTCCTTTACCCGGGCTTGGGGCCGGCAGTAACTCTAGAAGAGCTACAGGCGGAGTTGAACTATACTATGATCACTTCTTATTTATCCAAAGCGGAGGGAAGGTGAAAAAATATACAAATCAACTTGAATTTTGCAGTGTTCATCATTACGATAGACGATGAGCTTATAAAAGCGCGCTGGTGTACGCATTATACGCTTGATATAGTTAAAAAAAATTTATTACAAGATATTTATACAATTGAAAAATATATGAACAAAGGCTTGAATCGATCAGATTGTCGTCGACATTCCTTAAAAAATAATTTCATTTGAATAACCTAGATATGAATATCAGTGGTCTTAACCGATTTCTCTCAAATAACTCAGCTAACGTATTTCAATTGTTAGTTGCTAGCATTAATAGGACTCATTTTTGACTTAATCACATAGCATGGTAATTAATACTTTTCTCTATCATTACATCAGGAAGGTCAAAAGTATTGTCTGTTAAATTCTGATCAAAAGACGTTTACTACTCCAAATAATTTCAAACCTCAAACTAGAAATATTTAAAGTGGTCTTAGTTGTCCTCAAAAACTAACATCAACTGGAGGTATGTCTGAAACTAGTGGGCACTAAACATCTGTCTGTTGCTACGACGATCACACCGTAGACCGAACCTAAGACCTTATGGTCTTAAGACAAACATGATATCAATGAGGCACCAAGTTGTAGTTTAATGTTTCACACATTTCCAATTTCATTCAGTGGGCGTCATTGATATATTCGTCTCACTGTACATTTTGAATTCCACCACTGATAGCTTCTCATTTAGAACTTCAGAAATTCTCCCGTAATTAGTCCTTAATGTTTACTATTAGTTTAAAAGTTTTGTTACCTCATGGATTTTTAATGAATCCCCTCACCTTAGATAAATTCAGGGTGATGAATACTAATTTTAAACACTTAGACGTCACGTTTCACTAGATCAAAATTTCTTTTACGTTTATTATTTACAATGCTGTGCCATTGACATTTTGCAATGGAACCATATATTGTCATGACTGGAAAGGCTTTACTTTATTACTCATGTTTCATTGATCCTAGCATGAATTCACGAAGTCATTGGCTACTGAAATGAGCCATGTTGGTAGGTGCAGATTACTTGATTGGGCTATGTGCGATTATAGTAAACAGTGTTTAGAGATGTTGGGTGACGTGACTCAAAATTGGTAACAATGGTAACCTTGAGTTCTTTCTTTCCCAAATCGTATTGTTTATGTCTAATGTTTTCTATTACCACTGATTTTGTTACTAATTGTACTATTCTGGTATGTTATGGTAATTTCATCTCTGTGTTGATATTGTAGGGGATCTGGAACCGATACACATGTGCCCCAAGTTCTATGTTACTTATGACTGACTAATATATGGTTACTATGTATTATTTATTTATTTCTATAAATAAAACAGAGCGATTAACTTCAATGAACTACAATGTTTATCTCTGCTTTATTCATTTATCGATTTGTTTGTTCTTTTTATATATTTGGATTAATCTGTTCCAGTATTTCAGTCCATATTCATCAGCCGACTTAAATTTGATGGCTAAAGCATTCGATACAAATGTAGCTAGTCTAGAAAATGAATTAGCAGTACTTATCCAAGATGGAAGTATTAAAGCTCGTATTGATTCACATAAACAGGTAGTCTTATCATTTTGTTTTGTATCGTGATTTTGTAAAAAAATCTAAATAAATAGTGTTTATTAGATTGTAAAGCGATCATTAGTGGTAGAGTGGTTGTTTTAGTAGTCTAACCGGTCGCCAAATGATTTAGGAAATAAATTTCCAACCCTTTGTGATTAATATTTTGTTAAAGAATATGTCAAGTGGTATGGTTAGATATAACAACAGCAAAGCAAGTTTTTTGAATTCAATATGATTCTTTTTAGTTAACCAATATTCATTGCTTTTAAAATTAAATATATACTGTGTATTGTATTGTGTTTTAAATGCTAATTCTGGTAGTTGGTTTACTCTGCAAACTGTAGTTCTATATTTGTAGAATGTTTTATAAATAAAATATCTTGATTGAAAGAATTTCCAACGCTAGGCTAATAATAACTGAAAATAATCGTACTGTTAGTTGAATCAAAGTTGAATTTTATATTAATAATCATTTATGGAACTACATTTTTTAAGTATATACATAGTATTTTACTGGTTCTTAGTGTCACTTTCCTTCTTATCCATAATTAATACGTAGCTTCTTCGTGTTCTTGACGTGGATCAGCGATGTCTAACGTTTGCTCGGGCTGTACGACTTGTTGATGAGTATAAAAATCGTACACATTCACTGATACTTCGAATGGCATTAGCACGTCAAAAACTTACTGTTAAGGTAGGAGTATTTTTTTTAAACTGGTATACTATGATTATATCTGACTGTATAAAATGTAGTTCATAAGTAATTTTTTTTCTCTCATCACTTATACAGGTGTTTTCTGCGCTGTTTTGTTCCATTAAACTACGACCATGTTCTCAAAGAACGATTTGTTTGACAACTTATTTATTTATTTAAACACATAAATATTGGTACAAGGAAGCACCAGATAAATATGCGCCTCACAAATCTCATTTGAGTTGTGTGAGGGCTGTGATACTGCCCAGGTGCCCAGACTGAAGCAGGTGGTTTTCTTAGGGGGCCACACCCGGAGCCTTTGACCTAAAGGTCTGATCCACAAGGCAGTGGAGCATCGTGAGGAGATGCAGTCCCATGGTAGCCGGTGATCAATGATTGATTCGTACGCCATTTGTTCCTTCAGGATACTGGAGCCCATGTGCACCATTGGTTTGGAATCAGGGTTTTCCAACTCCCCTAGGTGGACCCTCCGTGTCCACCAATCCGGTTATAGCGCCGGACATTCGCTTTTCGTCCTCTGACTTTCGTAAACAACACCCCCGCCACGAGAAGGCAGTGAGTAGGACTTCCCTGACAGATGCTATATATTCGCTGGCCATGTGAGAGCATTTCGAGAGGGAGAGCAGACTCTCCCCACTCTCGGCCGTACCAGGGCATTTGGGGGCGTTTGACAACTTAAGTATTGACCTGTCAACAATTTCAGAATGTTTTTAAACCAGATACATGAACAATGTAGAATCTGTCCATCCCAATGTTAGTTAAGATCGGTCATCGAGACTGAGTGTGTTTAGGCATATATAATACGTTTTATAAACACTTCAGTCAACTATGGTTCACAATCTGATGAACATATTTCGTACCTTTACTTAGTATCCTGTGTCTAACACTTTCATTTCTCACTCGTTAGTCCCACCATATTCATGAATTATTCCGAAAATATCTATGATCAAATACATACAAGCCTCATAATTTGTTAAATGTACCGTTCAGACTATTAACTTGGTGGTTGTCGAATTGTTAAAGTTTAATTAAGCTGCTTAATTCCAATTGAATCGGCTTAGCATTTTCATTTGAAAGTTACTTATTTCAATACATAAGTTAAACGATCTAAAAGGGTGTTGAATTTAACGTACACAACTGAGTAACAGAAAGCATTGTCTCCTAGCTGACTGTATGTCTTGATATCACTCTCATTTTCCTTTTTAAGCGATACGATTTAAAAGTCACCCATGTAAAGTTATATTCGGATGTTGATTTCACTTCTCTAAACACATGTATGCTGTGATATTTATTATTACTCATGATAATCAATGTATTATTGTTTCATTTCTATCACTAAGTACTACTAGCCTAAGATTGTCTATCAATAACAGTCAAATTATTGTTTATCTTATTACTATAAGGATTTTGTAGTTGTCGAGTTTCATAGTTTACGTTATGGATTCCTTTGAGTTATGAAACCGCAAAGCACTGAACGGTTACTGTCTTAGTATGAAACTCCTCAAGTGTATGCATTCACGGCTTGAGTGCCAGCTCAGTGATCTAAAGACTAAGTGCCCGCCTCAAGACGTGTAGATCCTGTATTCGATCTCCAATGGAGTTGTGAATGCCCACTACTGAGGAGTCCTGTACTAGTACGAGACAGCTGTCCAGCAATTCGTGTTTTTTTTAAAACTAAGATCAGTTCTTAATGTAAATTATCATTCTTTTAATCGTATACTTTATTGCGCAGTTTCTGTCTTTCTTCAGGGTGTATATGTTCTCTTCTTCATAGTCTACGATTTTACGTCCAAGCATTTAATTTTAAAAATGTGTTTTACTGTTTTTTTTTTCTAGTCTACCAGAGATGATGTTGATCCTATGTATCATTACATGTCATAAAACAATCAATCTTTGGATTAATAATAACAATGCTTATAAAATAGTCATAGTAGTATGGCATTATGAAGCTATTCAAATTTCTGTGATGGGACAAAACTGTCTGAGAACTTTGAATTAATGAAAGAGAACACACACCGACCTGCTTTTACAACAGATTTACAATATCCTCCATATTTGATTAAGACTGTAGAAATGCTGTCCTGTTTTTCTCACATAGAACTGTTAATTTACACCTAAACACAAATGTTTACTGCTTCTACCATAAGTCGTCCTCCGTTACTTCAATGACACATGGCTAATTCATTTGTACTTATTTTTCACATTGAATATTTTTTAAAGCTGTCAACTTACCCCCTCTCGCCACAATCCTGTTGGTCCCCAGTTTTCATGTTCACAAACTATCACATGTACACAACTCCTGCACACCAAGTCGGAATAATATCCTTATTTAAAAGCTTATAATCGGTATAGTGTTATTGGTCGATATTTCATTTTAGGTTTTATTATTGTATAAAATGTTGGTAAGAATTTCGACTGCGTTATCAATTAGTTTTTCCAGTTTGTATATGTGAAGTGATGCTTGTTTTTCTGTTGACGCTTCTCTATCAGGTTCATCATTTAGAAGTAAGAGATGGTATTTAATTGAGACTTTTAACTCGTAATCACCGGCATATTTTGATAGCGTGTAATTTGGTCTGTTATATACCGTTTTTTGAAGTTAAATATCCAATTAGACTATCAACATCATAACCATTCAGTCTATAACCTGACAGTAAACAGATATGTTTGGTCGCTTATGATTAATTTCTGGTCAGCTTAATTAGAATTGAAACTACCTGTGATGTATCTGTTTAGATGTTGAACATCTATATATGCCTGAACAGTCTCCTGGAACCTATTTCATAGTGGAATCTGAACTCACGCTGACGGTGAAAGTCTCAGGGCCATATTTAAGGAATAACTATAATGTATTTGTTATCAGAACATAATCTTTATACACATAGGAATGTATCCTCAGGTTGTGCATAATCTATCATAGGAGCAGTAACAGGAATTCCAGGGTTAGTAAACACTAAAAGACATCAGTAATCTGGATTAGAACTGCTGATGCAGAAAGATAAATACTAGTTGGACTTAAGCACAATAATGAGAAAATGAAAACGGGTTTGCCCATCGTTTGTGAAGGCTGTGTCTAGTAACATTATCTATAACGAATGGTAGTAATTCGTTATTTGTGTCGACTTAGCTACGCGGCACATGCAATTTGATTAATTTCTGAAACCCAATAAAAGTGTTTAAATCCATCTTTTTGCTTATTAGGCTGGAACAAAACATATAACCTAGTTGACTTAACTGAAGTAAATAAATGAGGCTATAGGTGACTGAAATTGGATATCTAAAGCACTAATTAACACGACGTCGGAAAGCTTAAGATAGCCGATATATCACTGAAGTTAACTAAGTTAGTCAGCTACAACGTAGGACCAGGCACACATATGCATCGGTCCAAGTTTCCATACCTCGTTAGCACAGGATGAACGCCGAATTCATAGAAGTAGTTAATTTAGCGGTGGTGATATATAAAAGAAAGGTTGTATATAAGGATATAGTACAGGAAGAAAGACAGAAATGATGTTAACTAGCTGTTATCATAACACTTGGTTATTAGTTTGTTTAGTGTCGTGATATTTCTTTCTGTCCACTGTCCAACCAATGTCTGGATAAAGTATTGTTGTAAGACATTTTCAATGGAACCTGTTTGACCAAACTAGCATCTAGTCTAGTTTTCATAGACATTCGACTAATGGCCAGCGAACCAGTGGATGCATCGACCAAACGTATACTTTCGCCAGGATGCAAGCATAATATACTGTTTATTTATTTACCGTAAAGGTTGTATGTAACTTTTCTTCGAGACCTACGGGGTTATGTGACTTTGAAGAGATTCCTTAACAAATATATTACGTATTCATATCACCATTTAAAGTCATAATGAGCGTATTGCGCAAATGATTTCCATCTACTGTCCGTCTTTGCAAATCAGACCGGCATAACATCTGGCTGTTTATTAAACTATAAGCACACGATGCAGCAGTCAAGTTTGTCATTTTACGGTTGTGGGGTACGGCTGTCAAGAATGGAAAATATGCCTTATGTTTCTAAAATACCACTTGTTTACAATGAAACTATCGAATCAGTTTCGTTGTATTTGAGTGAAAGCTGTAGACAAAATAAGTCTATGTAGTTCGGAACTTGAAAGTAATGACGAGGTTGCAAATTGTATTTCATTCAACAAGTCACTTCCTACCCCGATATCTGAAGTTGTCTGTTATCATAATAAACTGGTATAAGATTATAAGTAGACAAGAATAAGTGCAGGCCGGCTAAGACATTGATTGTGACACTGGAAAGCATAGACTTTAGTGAGATTCATCGGACTAAAAGTTACCATTTAAATGCTCCGATTGGTAATCCTTAAAATTGATCAGTAATGAAATCTATATATTGTTTATCTACTGATAGATTTTCTCTGTTGTATTGCTTTATATCCATTTTACCCCGTATACTGATATCATCGTCTGTTTTGATTGTTCTTCATCTTTGTTGCTCTTGCGATTGTGTAATGTGAAAACTTGGAATGATGTATTTGACATATGGTCCTATGTTGTATCGATATCGTATAGGTGCCCTTTTCCAGGTCGTGTGGGAAACATGCAACCTGTTTGGTCTATGGGTAAATAACTACCGCTAATCTTGACTAATCGTCACTCTTTCTCAAATATTGAGGAAAGCTAACGAGTGTAAACTGTCATATTTTGAGTCAGTTCCTGAATGATATCATGTCCAAGTGCGATGTAGACCTCTCAGTATTTACAACATAAGTTTTAGTGTATGTGTTGTGACTTTAAGCCTGGCTAATTATCACGTTACTTAATCGCAAATCGGAATACGACTTATACGTTGTGTAAAAGTCTCTAAACCATAAATCATGGCAAATTTCAACATACGATGAAAGACTATAGCAACAACCCTGCGATTAATTTAGATCATGGTTAATTCTTCTCAAGCCCTTTTATTAACTTATTTAGTAGACGATTGTTATGACTTCAAGCCCGTATAGTTATCACGTGATTTATTCGCCAACCTAAATACGACATCTTCGATCTTAGCACTGTATCAAACCAATGACATTGACCGGTATGAGCAGCCTAGCGTTCTTATTGGTCCTTTATCCTCCTAGCCCTGTCAGATGAGTCCAGAACATCAATACCAACTCCCACTATACGAACCATTTATTTCAAACATACCTGGTTTATATACAAACCAAACGGACCACATCACACCATAAAATAGGAAATAACATTTGTACATGATTAAGCAAAAAAAAAGTGGCTGTGATTGTGGGAGACGGTAATTAGTAAACTGAACGTAACTTAAGAACAGTAAATCATATAATAATAGTCCATAGGTCCAAATAAAGCTTATGGTAAGAGGTATATAGATATACATAATCTAGTTACAATAAGTATATAATATTAGTCCATTAATAGTTCCTAGAAGTTACCCGTAGTCTAATCTTCATTAGGATATAACAGTAAGCACTGTCAAGAGGGGTCACAAACTTAACTAAAACAACTCATCGGTGCTCTTAAGTTTCCAACAATATTCTAGCTGATACAAATCATAGTGATATCTCTCACTTTTACACAAAGTTGTGCTAAAATGTATGTAGTACCGGTAGATTGGACTAAAATAAGTAACGTTACGCAGTTGTCAACGATTTTTGACTAAATGATTATAACTGACATTTAAATAAGGGTCAAGACAACTGTAGATTGATTGGTCCCGATCTGTTCTTACCCGACAAAGTTATGGTTTCAAATACGGTCTACTATTTCAGATTATATTTAAATAAATACTAAAGATTTAGTTTGTTGTTTTCTTTTTTTTACAAAGACATAAGGAAATATAAATGTTATCAAGCTAAGCAAAGACTGTCCAGTGAAGAGAATTGTCTTTTCGACGGCATCATTTAACTTATCTGTAAAATCGTTCTCACGATAATTCTTAACATGTGATTGTATGTAATAAAATAGAGGCATGTTCCACCAATCCTTCTTAATTTAGCAAAATCAGTAGTATTGACTATTTACTTATTCTCCATTTTCGTTAAGTGGACGGTAGTCTTTTACATCTTTTCTGCAAATTATTATTTCCTATTATCTTCAAATCAGTTATACGCGACTTATAACCTGGCTTATGTGTGCATCGATTCAAGTTTCCACACATCATTAGGACAATGAGATGAAATTGCTAATCAAATCCCAGAGTAGTAGAGGTGGTAATAGTAATAAAATAGGTTAGACATCAGAGATACGATTCAAGAAAAAAGTGATATAGAAACTTGGGAGCTGAGAGAAACTGTGGATTAAATGCGTTTGTGCCAATGTTAGCTGTAAAGAATTGTACATCTTAAGTAAATAACATCACTTAAAGGAACTCTTTTTTCACTGAATTGTTTCTGTTTTCTGTAATAACACTAATGGGTTCCTGTTCTTGTTTTAAATGTTATCCTTAGTTACAAACTTAGATATATTTTTAAAAAGATATATTACAAATCTAAGTATATACATACTGGTAAAAATGATTCAAGTATTTTAGAAGTTTTTGTTAATAAGAGATTTTCTGTTAATTGGGAAGTACTGTATGTTAAAAAAAAAGTGATTGGAATCCAGTGACATTTATGATAGTCAATACAAACATTTGCTTCTATCTTTTTGGACTCGGTAACTTGAACATAACAGAGTGAAATGTGACAAAAAGCTTGCCAAAATATAGATTTCTATTAAAATATACATTTGAAATAGTGTACATATATTCTTATTCTTTTTTGAAATATTTACATCTTTTAATTATTATCAACAGCATTTCCAGACAATTATGCCTAAATTTCCACCACATAGCATGTATAGAATATTTTTAATATCATAAGTAATTTCAAAACCAAAACCTTCACCAACAGCTACATGCCATGCTGCTCCATACTTTTTATCCATAGTTTCTTTTACAAAACGAGCTGCTGCCTTTATAATCAAGTGGATGAAGGTAGGAGTTAAGAAAATGTATAAACATTGTAATAGAAAGTAGTAGATAAAATAAAAATATTTCTTTAAATGTCTGAGTTTTGCCCACTCAACCTTGTAACAACTATAAATTAAGTTTACCTTAGGATTCTTCTACCTCTTCCATTCAGCGTTACTTGCTTGTTTAGTAAAACTGTAGCGAAATAGAGGATTAGACTCATACTTCGATCTAAAACTTAGTCTGACAGGAACAAACCGATGTTGGGGATCAAAGAGCCTAAAAGTTGGACCACAGTAACTGGTTCATCTATGGTAAAATCTAAGTTCTTCGTTCAATAAAGCCCAGTCTTGTGAGCCGTTTCGTTTACTGAAAAATATCAATTTTATTACGGGTTAGACTTGAGGTTTTACTAGACTAGAAAAACATTTCGCATTACATGTGAGAATAGTAGCACTTCATTAGTTACATAAGTGTAACTCAAGCATACCATAACATTTTACGTATTTATTACTGAGTGTCATTATAAGTTAGAATGGGATGAGTATCATTGCACGTCGATCTCATCCGAAATAGCCAGCTGTATATATTATACGAGCCAAGTAAAGAAAACCAGCAAAGTGTAATCGAAGATTTATGAACGTTTCTCGGATTTTTTTAAGCTATGAATATTTGATAGGGTAGATGCACCACCAACCAATCGTCTAACCTTGCTCATCGAGGGTTGAATATCTTTATCATACACGTTCATGATATAATTAAACACAATGTATTTATATATATCATAAAAGCATCAAGGTATTGTTAGATATGTCAACTGTATTTTCAAGTAGCTCACCTCATTATCAGTTGAGAATTTTTCACATGCTGTCACACATAGTTCCATTACTTCAGTCTGCATATCTTCATGCATATCACTATGCTAGAGGGAATGATAGAGAAAGAATTACAAGCAATCTAAAGCTAAATATCAAACAACTTAACGGTGGTTCTAGGTATTTTCGTACTGGTTACAGAACAAAATTCTGCTGTATTTATCTACTGCTCAAGGTCAATATTCGTAACTAAGCCTCAAATTTACTCGCAGATGATTTTGTCAGTCAGAACGCAGCATATGCGTCTCCTGATAAACAGTTGATACAACTGATAGAAGTTGTTTGTGGGGTTTGCTAACTCTAGTTTTGTCTAATGCTACAACAACAAAATTGTAAAAAGAGGCCTGAAGCAAATAATTTTCACTAAGTTTCTTCTTAACGAAGGTGTACAACACGAAATTCGTTGAAAGTGAGTAGCTTTAATGAACATTATTTAGTCGACGGATTCGTGGGTTGCTATGTTTGACATTTTCCTAAAACATGCTCAAGGTAAATTATTTTGTAAATTTTTAGGACGAGTTTTATTTTCCTGTGCTCCGATGGTCATGTAAGTTAATATCTCTAACACTTTATTAGTTAAAATGATGCCTTGGTGGTTTTCACAAGAGGATTTATATCTTTTTACGTAGACTAGCACAATCAGAGATAATAATGGGTTGGACAAAAATACAACTATATACTAGGCCACACATGATATCAATTTTAGTGGGAATAGTGAACCAATAATCCTTAAGACCCTATGAATAAACTGTTCTTGAGCTGCCTTTCTCTTTCAGTTATTGATGCCTCATCGAAATCGAGGTTCTTCTCATTTTTTCATTCAGACGGGTTATACATGGCAATAAAAATGTCCAAAAAACGGATTGATTTATACTACAAATCACTAAATCTGCCGCGATAGAGGCTTATCCGTCAACCAAGTCTCTGAGGTGAGTCCTAACAGCGACCTAAAGTTATTTTTCGTGTTTTTTCCAACTATTCTGTTTTTGTCATCTATCGCCTCTCATAGTAATTGCTGAAACAATCTGTAGGTCCACATCGAAATTTCCTTCGCTCATAATACCCGAAACTCGTAGATGTAATGCTGAAAATAATAATAGCTTTATTGAATAATATATGTTTATTACAGTAAACAATTATCAGAACGAAAAGTCAAAATGTTCCTCGTATTCTTCATCCACGTCCCAAGATATATATACTTATGCGTATTATAAAAATAATAGAAAATCTATGGTAATTATTGATAAGTATGGACGTTCAATAACAAAATTATTTGGTTAGTTCTCTGATGACTTTTCCACCGTAAAATATTTGTACTAATTAAAACTCAGTAGAGTGGGTTATTTCTCTTTTTAAGAGTATTCATTTATTTAAACACATATATATTGGTACAAAAGGGCACCAGATACATATGCGCCACACAAAATAATGAAAGTAGGAAGAGAAGGGATGAAAAGATAAGGCGGACTGAAATGTACAACCAGAAGACTCTTTCAGTTAAGAAAGTTAGAACCACTCTTTATGTAGAAAGTAAAAGAAGGTTGCAGCAGGATCGCCACTGGCTTCTATTCTGAGCCATATCTGATAACGTCTCTAGCCACTGTGTTGCACCATCTCTCGGACCCCAACCAGGGAGTCGTGAAGGACCAACAGAAGCTAGCCCTTTGCAGCTTTCTTTCATGCCACGACACCATGTCATACACTGACCTCCTCTCCGCTTTTTCCAACCAGTCCCAGAGTCGGCAAATAATGCACGACGTGGAAGTCTCTGGGACGACATTCGTAAAACATGTCCAAGCCACCGAAGTCGGTGTTTCAAGATGGTGACACCAATTGAATTATCGTCTCTGCGCCCGAACACACGATGCCGAACCTCTGCATTACTAACATGGTGTTGCCACTGGATGTCAGCAATCCTTCGGAGACAACGATGATCGAACACAGAGAGACGTCTAACATCCTCAACTCGGAGAGGCCAGGTTTCACAAGCATAGAGCAAAACTGCTCTCACCGACGCGTTGTAGATCCGACCTTTTACAGCCAGACTAACATCACGAAGGCGCCAAAGATGGCCCAGATTGGCATAAGCCGCTCTGGCTTTCATTATACGTGCATCAATCTCATCACTCACGCCACCACCAGCACTTATATAGCTACCTAGATACACGAACTTCTCAACTACTTCGATCTCCTCACCATCCAGGGTGAGTACAGGATGAGAATCCTGCCAGTCTTGTAGGAGTACCTTGCACATGGAGGGTGCAAAGCACATGCCGTACCTGCGGACACTGATTGCCAAATGATTAAGTGCTGATTGCATGCCTTGGGCATTATCGCACAGTAAGACAATATCATCCGCATACTCAAGGTCGAGAAGTCGTTCTCCAGGCAACATATCTACACCGCCATTACTTACATCCATCTGAGCTGTTTCCAGGATCGGGCAACCCTGTCTAACCCCGCTGCTCGAATGGAACAAGGGAAAAAGGTGGTTGTATGCCCTCACTCTGTCTGAGGTGTTCGTATACAGGGCCTTTAAGATGTTAATGAACTTCTCAGGCACACCCTTCTTCAATAGACAATTCCAGAGAACAGTTCTGTCCAACGAATCGAAAGCAGCCCTGATATCAAGAAACACTACGATTGTTGGCCTGCGATAAGAATGACGGTGTTCTAGCATTTGGCGGAGGGTGAAGATGTGATCAATGCATCGTCGACCAAAACAAAAACCAGCCTGCTCCTCGCGAGTCAATCGTTCTCGGGTTTTAAACAACCTACGAAGAATGATAGAAGCCAATAGTTTGGACGCAATCGGAAGTAGACTTATCCCCCGATAGTTATTACTGGAACAACGTGAACCCTTTTTAAAGATAAGGATGACTATCGACTCATTCCATGATGATGGAACACTTTCTTGCTCCCAAACCTTTCCAAACAACGCAGTCAGTTCCTTAGCCAGAAAGTCACCACCATCTTTAAAAAGAGCCGGAGGTAAGTCATCTGGGCCCGGTGATTTGTAGCGCTTCAAGAGTTGGAGTTCCTTGAGAACTTCCGCCTCGTTTGGTGGATCAACCGTCACCGGCCATGGGGGGCAGGACAAACTGGTTGATGTTGCCGGAGCAGCAGGCCAGTTGAACTGCCCTTCGAAAAATTCCGCCCATCGTCCAAGACGTCGACAGATGTTAGTGATAGGCATCCCGTCATCCTCACAGATTGTTTCACTCACACCAGACTTCTTGCTGCCAGTGGCTCGAATGAGTTGGAAGAGCTTCCGGCAGTTACCAGATGCAGCTGCTGCTTCCATCTCATTAGCACGCTCCGACCACCAGGCTTCCCGATCCTTACGCAAGCTTTGCCCGATTTCATTACGTAACAGCCTTCGTTTGTGGTCAAACTCACGATCACCCGGAGTAGACCGACAGGCTTCGATCAGTTGTAAGGATCCAGAAGAAACCCAGTGCTTGTAAGCGGGACGTTTCGCGAAGCCGCAAGCGGCTTTACTCGCCATTTTCATGGCGTCGTGAAGAAGCAACCAATGCTCATCTATGCTTTTCGGTGGGGTGGTAGCTAGCCTAGAGGCTAGCTCCGCTCGATACCTACTTGCAACAGAAGTTGCAGCCAGTTTACTAACATCAATCCGTTGGTGGTGGTCAATCCTTCGGCCACTGAAAAGTAAGGTGAGATTGGCGCAGACCAGGGCATGATCAGACTCCAGATAGGTACTCCAAAAGGAGCGGCAGTCTTGTACACAACCACGCCAGCGGTAGCTGATCGCGATGTGATCAATCTGAGTCCAGGCTTGGGATGCAGAGTGAGGACGCCAGGTGGCACACCGGCGATGACTGTGCCGGAAGTTAGTGCTGGCTAGAAACAGGTTGTGGTCTGTGCACAGTTGCAGCAAACGGTCCCCGTTATCTGTCCGGCGACCAACAAGTCCCCATCGGCCACCTAGACGACTCTCTTCTGTGCCTAGACGCCCGACCTGTGCATTCAAGTCTCCGGCTAGTACTACAATATCTGTCGAACGCGCTTTCTGGAGAAGAACTGTTAACTGATGGTAAAACTCATCCTTGATTGCATCCGGGCTGCAATCTGTCGGGGCATAGGCGGAGATGACGAAAAGACACCGTTTCTCAAGCCGATTTCTTCTCACTTTGATGGAACTTTCTAATCTAACAGCACATAACCGACTGTTAATGGGGATCCAATCGATTAGTGCTGTCTCAGCCCTAGCGCTTAGTGCAACACCAACGCCAGCAAGACCAGACGAAGATGCCACAGGGTCCCCGGATAAGCGCACGTGAAACAAGCTTTTCGAGGCGACAGATGGAGAGCGGATTTGTAGTACTTCACTAGAGTCTTGAATAAGAGTCTCGGATAGACAACAAACATCAACATTAAGACTTTCTAAAGACATAGCCAGCCCTATCTGTTGTCTGATATGCATTAGTGTGCGAACGTTGAAGAAAGCCAGCTTGAACGGCGTACGTGGTTTCAGAAAGACTGCTTCAGTATTCATTATCGGTGGAAGCATTCACTTTCAACCAGACAGTGTTTGGAGATCGTTTAGATAGGACAGATTTTCCACCAAGAGAGAGCTGCTGCATAAGTTGAAAAGTAAGGTTGTGGTGTGATCTACTTATATCCATATAAGTAGTATATGGTGTGGGTCAGACATAGAATGTATTTTGGCAGAAGACCGATGAGGAAAGAACTGAAATGAAGCGCAATCGTTTGGAAAATGCATGAACAATGGAATTATTGAAGAAACAGTGAAGATTGAAACAATTGATTGTTAATTTGCAAATTGACTGTTCATTCTTTGGTAATCAGAATTTACTGAGATAGTCTGTAATCTTTGCTTAAATACATTCGATTGTCCCCAACTAGTGTTCTGTTTACTACATTTGGTGTCGCTGCCAACCAGGAGGAGGAAGGGTGCTGTTCTGCGGACGCCGCTGCGGGTCTGGAGTGGAGGTGCTAGTTGGGGCAGTCTGGTGGGGAGAGTTGGCGTCGAGTGGAGTGTTCTGGCGGGAGGCGTTGGCTGTAGCAGGTGCTGTCGACGGAGAGGAGCAGTGGGACGTGCGGCTGCTGGGCGGACATCGGATGTAGATGGCTCGGCAGGCCGGTGGAGTACGGGTGTTGAACGTCCCAGGTGCCGGGTGGATGCGGATGTTGGTGCCCCGGCAGGTCGACGGAGCTATGGAGTTCAGCGCGCCGCAGACTCGACATTCTGACGGAGAGTTTGGCACAGACTGCAGTGGAAGAAGATAGTGGCACGGCGAGCAGAACCACCGCATGAACGAATGCTTTAAAGGGGGGACGAGTGTGGTGTGATCTACTTATATCCATATAAGTAGTATATGGTGTGGGTCAGACATAGAATGTATTTTGGCAGAAGACCGATGAGGAAAGAACTGAAATGAAGCGCAATCGTTTGGAAAATGCATGAACAATGGAATTATTGAAGAAACAGTGAAGATTGAAACAATTGATTGTTAATTTGCAAATTGACTGTTCATTCTTTGGTAATCAGAATTTACTGAGATAGTCTGTAATCTTTGCTTAAATACATTCGATTGTCCCCAACTAGTGTTCTGTTCACTACAAGGTTACACAAATTGGGGATAAAAGGGGGTGAGTTAGCGATATGGTAAATAATAATAATAATAATAATAATAATAATAATAATGTAAATTGTCTTGCTTCTAGTATGAGCAGGAATAGTATCATCAATAGAATTCATCATTTCTTTTATTTGTGTGTGGGCTGTGATACTGCCCAGGTGCCCAAACCGAAGCAGGTGGTTTTCTTAGGGGACCACACCCGAGCCTTTGACCTGAATTTCTGATCCACAAGGCAGTGGAGCATCGTGAGGAGATGCAGTCCCATGGTTGCCGTTGACCAATGACAGGTTCTTCCGCCATTCGTTCCATCAGGATACTGGAGCCCATGTGCACCATTGGTTTGGAATCAGGGTTTTCCAACTCCCCTAGGTGGACTCTCCGTGTCCACCAACCCGGTTAGAGCGCCGGACATTCGCTTTTCGTCCTCTCACTTTCGTAAACAACACCCCCGCCACGAGAAGGCAGTGAGTAGAACTTCCCTGGCAGAGTCTTTTTAAGAGTAGATTCCAATACCTGGCATACTATTCTATTGAACGATAGACTTCGAGAACGATGTAGGTCAGATGAATAGTTTTTATTTAACAAAATGACACTTGTTGTCTGAAAGGATTTAAATGCTTTTTTGAAACTATGTCCATAACAAAATCAAAAGACGCACCACTGACATATTTCACGAAAGGCGTACGAATCATAGAACAACTTTCACACAAATTTCTGGGGAAGTATTATGGGAGAAATTGCAGAGTAATATGATATATACAGTAACTTAGAAATTAAAAAAAGTATATGTTGCTTAAAATCTTACTTCGTAATAAAAATTACCAATATACGCAAAAAACGTTTGTTTTTATATTGGTGTTTTTAAGTTTCAGAAGCATACACGGATAAGTGAAAGTCGGCCTACACCACTCTTATCCTCGAAGTAAATTTGAGTCTATGGTAATTTACGTGGTTATCTTCCGAAATAGTTGTATCTGCCGATAACTGTTTTAAGCTTTGGCGATTAAACCACTAACAAAACGAGAGGTTGATACTCCATGGTAATGTGACTACATTAAAGGTTAACAGGTTAAAACCACCTAATTTAAAGCCCTGGAACGTGTCTGATAGAAACTACGCAACAACCTAGTAATGCTCTATAAGAATAGAGACACATTTAAGCGCTCTGATTCCTCTAGCAATTTAAAATCGCTAAGACTGTATTTAGCGTACGATTATTTAGCGACCTAGAAAATATCCACCTACCTATTAGAGTCATATGAGGGTTATAAATTAGCATAAGGAACTAAGATTAGAATCTACAGTCGGACGTTAGAGTTAGGAAGTGATATTAGTAATAGTGCAGAAATGCCATTTAGATGTATACATAGATAAATTTTACTCTAAAATCCAAGACCTTCCATCTTGAATGTGACTGTTTCGTCCAAAGACAATAGTTCCGTCCTAAAGTTGTAAGCTATGTCTAAGAACTTTTCTTTCGATTCACTCATGAACTTTTAACTCCAAAACACATTCTGATCAGTTAGGTAAGTTTTCACCTAACTCCCAATATTTTCAACCTATCTCATCTGATGTGTAAGAACAAGGCGTTTGCTGCAAAAATGGACTCTATAAATTTCCTATCTCTTTACAGTGACTCATTCTTGTAGAATCCTGCCATTCAAGATGACTTAGTCATCTATTAGATCTTTTCAAGAGAAAACTGTTTTTCTACAGATTCGATATAATATCCCATACCGAACCATTATTACCTCTTTTATTTCTGTTTTGTTTTCATACTATTAAAATTAATTTCGACGAAAAACTCGAAAGGTTTGAAGAAATAAGACTACACAGGTATTGCAGTAGAGCCTAATTTTGTGTAAATTTCCTAAACCTGGTAACATCTTGAGGCGTTTGTGTTACTTCTCCAGAATTTTCTGTTGTGATTTTCCCTCAAATCAGGAGATTGGTATTTTAATATAAGCTCAATTTTTTTATAGTTGGACCCTTAAATACAATTGACGAACTTACTTTTAACAGTGGATATGTATGTACTCTTCTATTATCCTCTATCTTTTTAGCAACTGCATCTTCCATTGTTCAGCTCAATTTTGTAGTGTTAAGTATTCTATCCAAAACTGTGTACACACTGTAGTTACAGCAGCGATTAAAATGGATTAGTTAAAACAATCCAGTCCTAGTTTATTCTATTGTTAGTTTTTTCCTTCACGTTTTAGATCAAAGAAAACGTTTTGCTGATACTTGTATTTATTGGGTAGCATACGACATATATTTGGAAATAATAATTTTTTGTTTGTATGCTTATTTAGAAATATCTTTTAGGGATCTATAAAATAATATTGAAAGATGGAGTTCTAAACTTGGCAAAAATATACTCTGCATGTATTAGTAGTTTATATGCTTAGAATTCTAAAGTAACTGTTGATTCGCAGATGTTAGTTATTAATCCAGTCATATTTTCTAGTTAAAGCACTTCGAAAAATGACGGAGCAACTATTGTTTCCGTTTCTGTTTCTAGTTTTTTTGTCTATGCGATAAGTTGTGATATATGTACGAACTAATGTTTCCTTTGTACTTCGTTATTCACTGATTTATTGATTGGACCAGTGACATACGAAACCCGTATGAGCAGTCCAGAGCACTTGTCGGTGCGGCTATCTGCGTAGTCCAGCCACTTAAGTCCAGAACACCAATACCAGCCTTTGAAATATGACTCATTATTTTCAAACATACTGGGTTTATATACCAATCATACAGATCACATCGTACCGTAAAATAGAAAATAACATTTGTACAAGACTCAGCCCAAACTGCCTGTGAATTTGGGAGGCATTGATCAATAACTGGGGATAACTCAAGAGTGATAAATCGTATAATAATAGTCTATTGGTCATGATAAAGCTCATAATAAAAGGAACACGAGTATAAATATTTAGGTGACTTCATAATTGTGCAATATGCAATATACGTATCATACTGGTCTATAAATAGTCCTCAAAAGTTACCATTCATAATTCTCTTCAAGAAATAACAGACCCAAAATCTTACAAATTAGGTAGGCATATCATTAGGTCCTACATAAAATGCTCCATATCGAACTAAAATCCTTGGAAATTAGTAACTTACAATATTAATGGTTTTCTTCATCCCAGTACCAACATAAATAAATCGTAACATACAACGGCTCCCATCATCAAGACCAATAATTAATGTGGTTATTTACGAAAGCGTGTTTTTTAGCTTGTTTTTTATGTATAAAATCCGGGTTGTGAATAATAATAATATATAAACGATATATGTTAACTGCAAAATTCGGAAGACTGCACTTATTCGCTGGTTATCTCAAAACAATTCAGTCTTGCGCCTGAGGCTTTCCGTGGACGAGTATCCCTGACTCAAAGTAATCTTGATGACCTATTTAATTGAGTTAAGAAGCAACAGTTAACATCTTACCACAGCAGTGCATGATCACTCACTTCGAGAGACAACACCACAAACCACCGCTTAGTTTAAGTAAGTGTAATGTTTAGACACTCAATTCAACAGAATTAAGTGGAACCGCAGTTAGTAAAACAGGATGTTGTCTATTTTTCTGTCCCCTAGAAGACTTTTCATACAAACATTTTAGCTGCGGAGAAGTTCTATCCCCGATTCACGTCTTATTAAAAATCATTTCATGATCCGGTCTGGCTAGAACCTGCCGTATGTTGTTTGCAACTTTGCCTGAAAGTAGTACGCTTGCTTGGTTGAATTCTTGTCATTGTAAATACGGTCAGTAAGAAAATACTTTGCATGTCTGATGAACTAAATTTGCAGTTCAGGGACTTTTAAAGGTTAAATAGGAAGATTAATGGACCGCTCATTCGACGTTCGAGGTAGATTTGACGTAGAATTTTCTGAATATATTTTCATAGAGAATAAATTGCACACAAACAGGACAATGTATATTCAAAAATGAGCAGCAAACTACAAAAAATAAGGATCACAAATGATACAATGTTATAACATAGAACAGACTTACTATGTCGCACCAGTATATCAATTCATTCGAGATGTCGCTAGTTAATGTGTCTGAAATCGTTAAATTATGTTTACGAGGTAATTTACGTGCAATGAAAATAACTATAGTGGTAATCCACAACGGTAACTATAATCCACAATAACTGCTCCAATGGATGGATGTTTGTTGATTTTCGAATTTAGATCTTACCGTGAATAATTACGTGGCTCTTTCACGATGGGCTAACCATTTTTGCGGTGCATTGGCTGTGGAGTAGTTCTTTAGGTTAAGTAAATCAGCCACCCTGATACCCGTTGTCAAATAAATCCAAATGGTGGATGAATTCAGGGGGCAACACAAAGCACCGACAACGGTTTGTTATGACATATCCCAGATTACTAAGCCGCAAGCAGACTGAGAGGATTCGAGCAAAAGAGCTGGTGAGCGTGAGTGAGTGAACAGAGGCGAGTCAAGAGTCCAATAAAAAATTTATTGAAAAGTCAAATCGGTTAACAAGTTTCAAGTAAATATGTATAGGAAGGATAGGATTCATCGAGTGATTCTTAAGCGACCAACATTTAAGCTAGAGAAAGCGATATGTGCGTAGGCCGTCACATGTGATCAGACACATTTATGAAGACACGTTAATAATAGTACAAAAAACGTAGACAAATTCCTAATGTTGGAATAGCACTGTTTTCCAAATAAGTCAATTATGGAGGTTGATAGAATTAAATGTAAAATAAATTTGAGTGTTGGGGAGGTGCCTTACTTTAAAAAAAGGGCCAAGCTTACGCTTTTTACATTATATATACGACTCTCATTTGAGTCCTGTCCATCCCCTTCACAAATACAAATGACAAACAAAATGCAAGTAGGTAATGTAGAACGAAGTTTCATATGCTGAATATTAGGATGATTACACTCTCACTTACATAGCTAGATACTAACACTTGCATTTAGAACATTAACGGCTCTGTTACTTAAAAGTTAACCTAACAATTTTCCCAAAAAACAATATGTCATCTATAATTTACAACATTCCATCTAGTAACAAACAACGGAACTGCTAACATTCACAGAAAGAAACGCGTATAAACCGGACGCGAAGTGTTTCATGTTATTTAGAATAGTGTAGTGTAGTAGAGAAAGTAAAATGTGAATAATCTTTGAGAGTGAAAATGGATACGTTAGAAGAAAAACTAGATCAAATTCAAGTGAAAATTATCAGTTTCCTGAAAGAAGCTGTGCTTAATATTGTTGACACCGGACTAATAAATGTGTGGGTTTTTTCTTTTAATTGATTTTCACTGTGAACGCACTGTGTGACTACTTGTAATTTTGTTGAATGAAGTATTCTATAGCGTTATTCTAGTTCCCTGTTTCGGGTCGCGAATCCTGGCTCTGGTATAAAGTGATTAGTGTCATTACTATCCCATTGTCACTGTCATTCACTTATTTACAGCCAAATGATAGATAGATATAAATGACTAGGTTGAAGATGTAATTTTCGAATACACCAACCATTGGATAGAATGTCAGCAATAAATACATTTTTACAAAATCACAATGATTAGAAATTATATTTCTGACGTTTCGTGACCTAACGCTAGTTACTTCTTCGGGGTCAACAAATAGCTGAAATAAAATTAACTCAAGTTTAAGTAGTACGAAGGAAATTATAAGGAATACTTTTAAGATTGAAGTCATAATAGGTTCGAACATGTCAATATCATATTATTTTGGTCACGGTGGTTCTGTTTCACACATCGCTTTATTGATTTGTATTTAGGAAGCTGGGTTTGCAAATTACATACATTTGTTACATTCTGTAATGGAGTTGAAAATTTATATGTGCACATATCTGTGCGTAAAGTGTGTGAGAAAATGAATAGAGACATATGTGTCTGATTAGATAAACGATTCATGTTATATGAACAGTCAGCCCTTCTTCCCTATGAAAGGAAGAAGCATTTAGCACTACGGGAAATGCCCCAGATACTCACCGCTTTTCATAGTATGAAAAACATTTATTAATGATTTTGGTATTTTCAGCATCAATATGGTGATTGTTGAAATAAGTATGTAAGCTGTTTGCTGAGTCAACTTGTAGGTCTTTCAATTCAACAGGAAATCTAGGTTCTTATGAGTGATTTATTTTTTCCATGGCGCGGGTAGAGATTTCACAGGAAGACTCCTCAATGTAGGACCCATCACAATCGATACGAACTAATCTGTAGATAAAAATATTTGCAGATCCAAACTGCATCCCATCTTTCATTCCAAGTGAAGAGTTTGTTAAAGTGTCGACCATCTTATAGAAAGCCTTCATTTTGCACGTTTTCAAAATTCATTATGGTTATCCTGCCAAACCTTGGCAGAAAGATGAAATCACAGTATCAGTGTATGATACTTCGTTAGAATTGTTACTCAATTAAGTGTAGTTTTGTTTTCATGTGTTTTTAGTGATATTTCTATCATAGTTATCAAGTTGTGTGGTGTTTATAATATCACCTTTTTCCTAAAACTTGTCTTCTTCTGAAGAAATGTTCTTGGTTCCTCTTCTGAAAGAGAGTCGATATTTTCTGACAACGTGTTTACCTGCAGAGAGAAACATCCAAGAGAGGATTTTCAATAGTGACAAGTGTGTCATCTACATATCGGAATCAGACGCGGGCTTGGATATCACTGGTAAAATTAAGCGACTCAATATGGGATGTCAATAAATTAGCAACAAACGGAGATACATTAAGTCCCATAACTACTTCATTCGTCACTTTGAATTTGAATATCGGTTCTGCGACATTTCGCAACTGAACTAATTCCTAATCGATATCTGCTAGACAAAGCACTATCACTCGCTCGTAAACCGTTAGTGAATTCTTGACATCTATCAATTTGAATTCTAGTGCACATAGATATAACATCATAGTTTATTATGGCTTCGTTCTTATTTGGAACAATACCGAGATCTTCGATTTAAATTGATAGGAATCCTTTAAGACATTAATTTTGTTAAGCCGAAGTGACTTCAATATTCTGCATAGATATTAAGATATAGCATATGTGGATGCATTTGTGAAGCTCATTATAGCCCTTAAAGAAATGTCAGGCTTATGAATCGCTGATAGCTCATCACCGTATGAAAATTTCATAACCACTTTAATACACATAAATCATTAAATCGATATGTGAAACAGAACCACCGTGACCAAAATAATATGATATTGACATGTTCGAACCTATTATGACTTCAATCTTAAAAGTATTCCTTATAATTTCCTTCGTACTACTTAAACTTGAGTTAATTTTATTTCAGCTATTTGTTGACCCCGAAGAAGTAACTAGCGTTAGGTCACGAAACGTCAGAAATAGAATTTCTAATCATCGGAATATCAAAAATATGTGATTATTTCACAATTGAATCCTATCCAATAACCTCGTTTAAAGTTACATCATATTCCGCCAAACAGTTCTACTTTTCTTTTTATTTCATTTTTCAAGCCGACGAAAAATTTACTTAAGATGTGGATGCTCATCTATCATGATCTACCATAAGAAAGCCGTACAATCCTAGATAATATTGAATCTTTTAAGTTTTGTTTTGCAGGTATAAAATTTTTATTATCCCAATTTTATTACCATCCAATTGTTTCGTATTTTCACTTGCTTATGACTTAATCGTGGATATCCTTATTATCTCCAAACTATAGACATCATACGGATCTCATAGTCCGGACGATTAGTTAGGTGATATACTAAACATGTATTTAACCCACAAAACGATATCTTTATCTGCCTGATTCGCTTGTTACATGGAAGGAGTAGAGACGATGTGCTTTAACAGTTCAGATTAAAGCAGTGTTAAAGAATAACACAAGCATAAAAGAACGTAAAATCACAAAGGGACGAAGGGTGAAGTTCCTAATAAACAAACATGATGGTGGGGAGATAACTTACCTCCATTATTGTCGGTAGGGCAGGACATATATTTCTCTTACCGTTCCTAATGGTTAAGCGTGATGTAGATAATCAATGATGTTGGTGTTACTTATCTATGCCAACAGTGAAGTTTCACCCTTTGCCGAAAAACCCTAGTACAAGCAAAACTGGGCAATTACTCAAAAAAGAGTCCACTAAAGATAACACGGTTATTCAGAGTTTGAAAACATATTTATACATAACACCTATATAATTGAAGTATGCCAGGTCAAACAAATCAGACGTCAGAGATGAAATGGTTTGAAGATATACTTGGAAGGCTATCAATATGTCGGGAAGCGTCTACTTTGAGTTGGCTAGCAGTTGGAAGTGACGCGCATATAGATCACTGACGTAGATGCTCTGTGTCGAATGATTATGTGCCTACACGAGTAAGACGGGAATGGTGTGATGAACAGCTAACTTCGAAGCCACACATAGCCGTCAAAACCTAATATGCATTACCCGTTCGTCGTATCAAGTAACGGCGGCTGCTTTGAAGACCGTATAACATGAATGGTGTCATTACAGAAATAAATTGGTAAAAGTATGTACAAGGAAGGGAGTGTGGTCACCAACTCTTAGGCCAGTCCATGGTATGCGATAAATTGATTCACGTAGGTTGTCCTAGAACTTGACGAAGATAGGTGAACTGTTCCACATTCTGTGATCCGATTGCTGGATGATTTGACTAAAGCCCAGTGACATGTCACTAGCCCTACACGTAGCACGACACACCCACTTGTGATCTGGTATGGATGCGTGACTGAGCGCTTTCAGCTAGAAGTGTCCAGTAAAGCAAATGAGGTCAACACCAAATGTCAAAGAATTACAGAACAATATGTTTTGGGGACTTAGCTATCGCCACACTACCAATGGCGTTACAAATGTGATGGTTATCAAAAACATGTAATAATAATTTCTACGGAGTGAAGTTTCGTTTGTGCATCCCAAGCAATGTATTTTATTTACTACAGACTATGGATGTAAATAATTTTACTCTTCTCCAAACTGACAGATATTGGTCTAAACATTATTTTTCGGTCACTTTTCCCCACTACTAACTGATCCATCCGCCCTCCTGATTTATAAGATCTCTCCAACAAAATGTTGGATATTTATGGTCTACAAGTTCGAAGTTTAACCGCTGGGATCAGTTTAGTGCGCTACTCCTGATCATATGCAATGGATATTCAGGTAATGCTTGAAGGGAGACCTAAATAGTTATTTTTGAAATAGAACGTCTAACTATACTTTCTTAGGACGTATTTGAAGACCTCATGATTTCATCTTCCAGTTATCCGACCGAAGTTGTCGACTTGACTAATAGTGACACAGACACAAAACCTCTATCACCAGCTGCTGTTCGGCGCCTTTCCAGAGAAAAGAATAAAAGCACTCCAAAGACACTTGATGAAATCAACAGCTGTTCCAAAGATATGGGGGGAAATGATGTCCCTGATGACGAAGATTTTGATATCGAGGATGAAAGCATCATGGAACGCCTGATTGGTCTCTTAGAAATGTTTCCAGAGCCAGTACGTCGCGGTTTTTCTTCTGCCTACAGTGCAGCCTCAGAAGGAATTGTATCGGGCTATTCTCTCAGCAGATCAGTGACTTGGTTTTTAGTGAGCACAGCTACCATATGTTTCCTCCCACTTATCCTGGAGCTAGAACGAGTTCAAACTGAAGAGCAAGAAGCAGTACAACAACGTGCAATGATGCTTGGTCCTAGGGCTGCAGGTGGTAGTTCTGGCCTGGCTGGATTTTCAGCAGCAGTTCCTCATCTTACTCACATAGAACCCAAGTAGAAATTGTATTCTTCGTACTCTCCCCATTAATTAAAAGCTAATACAAATATTGTTACACTCAAAACAAAAACGCATGTTTAGTCCACTGAATGTTTATCGTTAATTTGTATGTGAGGTTACTTAGGCCCTATATATAATTAATTAGCTTAGTCTGTGATCGGATACATTACTTTGTAAACATATTTAACGACAACGAATAACGGGAAAATGTACATCGTTAACAGCCACTTTCGGATAATTCTATAAAATGTAAGACTGGATGCTATACATTTCTATATGCAGGTCCGTCAAGTATGATCTCTTTACGATCCTCATTCTACTTAGTTCATATTTTAATTTGGTGTGGCGCTCGACTAATTTGACACCCAAAGTTTGTTGCTTTGCTTGTGTTGGATAGGGTAATTACTTGAAATTAACTAGTGTAGGGCGACACTTAATTTCCTCTGTGGGTATATATGGGAAAAACTTAGCTATTAATATGTCGAAGACTTGGAGCTAAATGTTTATGACCCGTTGCTGCTTGATTGTCGGCTTAGTTTATTCGCTTTACATTTTGGTACCTAAACATTATCAGCATAGGATTGTATGCGTCATTGAGTTTTTCTTGAAATCATGAACCGCTCAGTTTTTGAATCTATAATGAACACAGAGGTCAAGAGTTCTCGCGAAACTGAAGGTCTTGAGCTCAGGGATCTTGGGTACACATTAATGAGTCCGGGTTTTTATTGATGGTCCAACATTGATCAGTTTATTATCTTAATGAAAATCTAACTATACGCAGTTGTAGATGACCGTTAACCTTTGCTTTATCTAGCTAAGCTTACTGGATAGATATATGCACACTTCCTAGGTCAAAAACCTTAGTTTTATTTCCTTTGTCATTAATACTACTACTACATTATTCCGATATATTCTACCGCCCATCTTTTTTTAGTTTCATCTCGTCGTGCTAGTGCGGCATGATAGCATGACCAGACACATTCTTATTAGCTTCTACGTTGTTGATGACTGTCTTTTTAGCGGGAAATTGTTGACTAAATATGGGGCTGACGTACATGTAGAATAGCTAAAAGACAATAATTGTTAAGAGACTGGAGATCTGCTCATACTGTTATCTAGTTGTAGACTAATTATAATTATTCTTGAAGAAAATAATAGCATGGAGACAACTGTAAAAATGTGAGGTAGATATCATAGGTCGTGTAATAATCAATACAAAAAGGTTTGATTAATTGAATGAAGCTCAGGAAAAAAGAAAAAAATCATAATCCTTTCGTGTCGGTAGGTGTAGCTAGGATCTTCTGATAGCAGTGGCTTCAAAAAAACGCAGTATATTTGAATTCGTTTGCTTATTGTGTCGAGAGATTTCTGAAAGCCAACGTCTTCACTACTAGGCAAACTATTGCACTACTAGTAAGTTGTTCCCATTTGTGCAATGTATTCGGAGACGCAAACAGTAACCCTCCTTTCTGTCCTTTGGCACGTATTTGTAAACTAGCAGACAAGTAACTCAGGATGGAAGTTAATCCACACTTGACTATCTTAAAGAGAGCAACTCGTTTGGTGTAGACGTTATAGCCACTACATTATTTAATATTTTCGTCTGATATACTTCTTAAATATCAATCAATTCTGAGTTGTACCAATAACTTCGAAATTTTTCCTTCAAGATTTCTAGTAATTTTTAATAATTACTCTATTAGATAATGAAATAAATACTCTCACTTATCCATTGGAGCTTTTATTTCTCACGATCGCTTTGCAATTCTGTCTAGAATGAGCCAGTGATTACAGTGAAGGTTGGATCAAAAACTTTTCAACTGGATATATATATCTGGTTCCCCCTTGTACCAATATTTGTTTTTACATAAATAAAATAAGGCTTGATTTTACTAAAGTTGTACATTTTTATACGAAGCGTAAGAGAGCACTGCATATCTAAAAATAATAGGAATAGTGAATGAACTGACTCCAAAAACTCATTTACGGACGTTAAAGATACGTTTACTCTCTAACAGTTAACCTCGATGATGATTGGCTAGGCTAATAAAAAAACCCTTTCACAACTGAAAACACAGTCAACCATACAAGAATAAACAAACCCAAATGGGAAGGTATTGGTTTGCTGTTAGTTATCTCCTATCTTTTATCGAGTCGTGTTTTGAGTTGTTTTAATAGTCAGGTAATCACATATATTATCACTTGTCGTTTGTCAGTAACAGTGAATAAATCTGGTCAAGTTATTTGACCATAGTGTAGATAAAAAAATTTGATTTATACTACTATACACACGATTAACTTATAAAATCAAAGCAATATTACTTCCAAAAAATAAATATACACTTTAGTTCTAGTAGTAAGTTATATTTACAGCAATATTTTTACAAGTAATGTATCTTTTTAGTTAACGGGTTTTGGAGCACTCAATTTATTTAACCTGTGGTTTGGTGTCCAGTGTCCCAAACTTTGGTTAGCATAATAATCCATGGGATAGGCTTCAGATAAATCTCTAGGCCAAAAAACTTGCTCATTTAAAGCAACAAATGCTTCGTATGGTGTAAGTAAAGGTTTAGTGAACTCAACACCCCAGTCAATACTAAGACGAGGACATGCAACCTTGGAGCACAAAAAGAATAAAAAAGCAACTCTTTGTAGTCGACAAACTTATGCAGTAAATGCAAAACTTTACATGATCAACAATGATGTGTAAAATCTACACCTTGATTTGAAGTACGCAAATGACATTGTTGTATTCGATGAGTTTTCTAAAAGTTCTAAGTGACGATAAAAGGATGGTTAGGATACATTTCGCCTCCTTTAAGTTTAAAATGTTGCTTCAGGACTGATTTGAATCAATACATTGTTGGACCATACAGAGCCCCCAAACGCCCTGTTACGGCCGAGAGTGGGGAGAGTCCCCTCTCGAGATGCTCTCACATGGCCACGCATATATAGCTTCTGCCAGGGAAGTCCTACTCACTTACAAAATGAGGACGAAAAGCGAATGTCCGGCGCTTTAACCGGGGTGGTGAACACGGAACGTTCACCTAGGGTGCACATGGGCTTCAGCGTCCTGAGTCAGTCAGCTACAACGTAGGACCAGGCACATATATGCATCGGTCTAAGTTGCCATACCTCGATAGCACAACAAGATGAACACCGGATTCATAGAAGTAATTAATTTAGTGGTGGTAGTATATAAAGAAAGGTTGTATATAAGGATATAGTATAGGAAGGAAAAAGGTTATAAAACATCCTGAAGGAACAAATGGCGTATGAATCAGTCATTGGTCACCGGCTACCGTGAGACTGCATCTCCTCAGGATGTTCCATTGCCTTGTGGATGAGACCTTTAGGTCAAAGGCTCCAGGTGTGGCCCCCTAAGAAAACCACCTGCTTCAGTTTGGGCACCCGGGCAGTGTCACAGTCCTCATACAAATCAAATGAGATTTGTATGGTGCATATGTACCTGGTGCCCCTTTGTACCAATACTTATGTGCTTAAATAATAATAACCATATAGAGTAAATTATTCATTGATCCATGGTGGCACCTTTATTTACTTTGGAAATCTCGTAAGCACTGATAAAGGTAGTGAATAACGAAGTCCTGCTATGGTTACAAAACAGTAACTTGGTTTTTGTGAACATATCCCACCAGCCGCGCCAGTGGATTTGTTTTTGAAACAAACGAGAAGTATGCTGTACAGCAGTTCGCTTTATATTCCTCTGTAAAAAAAACAGCCAGCAAAGGTTGAGGACAAGTGTATTCAAATTATTGTCTGAGTATGTTAGAACCATATACCGAAGTTAAGCATAATGTTTAAGGTAGAAATAAAAAATCGACTGATCAGACTGTAAATCTTCACCTGCTTAACTGTTTCCAACATTTACTACGTATGCCCATCCACTGAAATGCTAAGCTACATAGGAGAGTAGGTATATATAACGTCCGGAGCGTCTAGACCAATTGTAATATCAACACATGAAGTCATTCACTGACGGCTTTGTCTTCAAAACAGTTGTTTGATCAACAAGTCCGACTATTCTGAGTGATTGAGTTGAGGTTTTTTCACCAAGTGGGTTTGTAGATAGAAATAACGAGTTCACAACGAAATTAGTTCTGATGACGAAACATTCATAAGCAAGTGGGATGGCTTACAGGACATCAAACAGATTATGTAGTCCATTGACAAAGCTGAAGAAGTTCAGCATGAACCATACAATTTATTACTGGAATATATCTTTAGCGGTTATAGTAAACCGCGTTTCGAATTTCTAAGCCTATTTAAAGTACATCAACCATGAAATCAGGTAGCTTTAATGGTCACGGCACTTAAAAAGTGTCATACACATATATGAATTAAAGCGTAAAAATGAAACGTTAAGGTACCTGAATCCAGGCGTCTACTTGTTCATCGAAAAGCGCTAATTTACTTGGAATTATTTCAGACAGCAATAGTATGATGTAAGTCTTCCCTGATTTTTCCAATTCTGTCTGAAGTTGTTTCACAACAGCTGGTGACCCTTGTTTTCCAAGTGTACCTATATTACAATGAAAGGAAAAACAGTTTCTCAGTTGGATGCTATTGAGGTTAGAGAAAGGCAATTTGTTTGGGAAAGTGGTATTTATGAAAACTCTCCGAGGAAATGGTTAGTGAAGGTTTGATTGGTTAGAAAGTAATTTTCTTCACAGTCTGGTTTCAGCTAGAGAAGCAGTGATAACCAGTAAGCACGAGAGTTTTTTTTAATAAAATAAATATTTAATAGATATACCTACACTTCATAGGAGATCAAACGTAAGTTCTCCATGTTTCGTGGTATTTTATTGCTTAACCATTAGGCCAGAGTTCGTTACCTCTGAGGCGATCGATTGGGCAGAATGCAGTTTCGGAAGGAAATTATCAGGCAAATACACTACAGGGTTATGTAATCAAAATGATGGTAATAAAAGCATAAATTTTAGTTTACTTACCCAATATTATCCCGAAATTGACAGCAT